TGGGAGAGGGCTGGAGGGGAGGGGGAGTACCCGATGTGAGGGACAGCTCCTTAGGGAGATGAACTGGCCCACGGTTACAGGTCCTACCCTGCTGTAGGGGGGAGAGGGTATGCCACTCCCCCCTCCCCGAAAAGGGGCTCTACCAGGAGGAGTGTGAGGACAGACTGAGGTGTCTTTCAGCATGAAGAGCTTACACACACACACAGACACAAACACACTTTTACTTGCCATAATACCAAAACAGACAAACACCCTCCTTCACGCATCCAAACACCATCTATAACTTCCTGACACACAAACCCCAACACACACACAAGTCTGAATGTGTGTTGGAGAAGGGGTAAAGGGGGGACCATACTCCCACTCATGCCCCAGGAATGCAGAGCATCCCTCAAATCTGTCAGGCAGCTGGTGAGTGGTGGAGGTGTAAAGGGGGTGGGGGGTTAGGGGTTGGGGTTGGGGTGTGAGGAGGAGAGGTGGTGTCATGCTAAATAAGTTCAATTACACCAACACTGGATGGAAAACAGATGACCACAGGCAATGACAACAACACAGAGAGAGGTTACCAAGGCCAGTGTACACACCGGGCCAAACAAAGCCCCTCATAGTGCACACCACTGGTACTGCAGGAGGAGAGTTATGGGTTATGGGCCTGGGAGCACGCTGTGTAGAGAAGAGAAGGATTAGACTGTAGAAGCAGGGCTGACAGTGTGCTATGAATTTACCTTGGACAGTCAGTGAGAGTTATAGGGGTGGACAGTGTCCAGTGTATCTGCTTTCAGACAGTGAGTGAGGGTTATAGGCGCTCTATAAACATTATCCCCCATGCTGTGCTGTTGGAGTTCTGCTCTTGAAGTCTCTCTGGTCTACCCAACATCCTTATCACTATCACTCCCCTGTACTTTCTCTGTGGTTTCTCTATCTACGTATCCCCATCTCCTCCCACTCCCACCATCCTCTTTGATCATCAGTTATCTCAACATGTTGTGTCAGAGCCAGGGCACAACTGGAATGATCATTCTGTTTGACTGTTTATGGAAATTAGTTTGAATCTCATTGACTAATAATGAGTGTGTGTGCGCATTTGTGGGAGGAGAGGATGGACTTACATGGTTGGCAAATGAGCTTATCATTTTATCTTTAGCGCCTCATTTTAGAGCTCAGCGAAAGCAGAGCACTTTAGTACCCAATGACATAACGTCAAGGAGGCCAGCTGCTTAGTATTGAGCCGCTTCAGCAGAAAGGAACAGGAGAGGAAGGTGAACTTCACACTGGGGTGCTATCTCAATTTGTCTTTCCGTGGTTCCTCGCATCCTATCTCCGCGCCTCCTTTTCAACAGTATTCGAGGAGAAGTTCCTAAATCCCTCCCCTTGGACCTTCTTCTCCAATGGATTTTGAGAAGGAGGCGAGGAGAGAGGGTGCAAGGAACCACAAAAAAGATGAATTGAGAAAGAGCAAGGAACACAACACAGAACCACACCCACTCAACAGCCTCTGTAGTAGACTCCCTACTTCATCACTAACCATTCCCCAGGCCTGGAATCTAATTCATCACTAACCATTCCCCAGGCCTGGAATCTAATTCATACGGAATTAAAGTTTGCTCAATTAGCTAGGTCATTTTAGAATCGGAATGAAAATGTTTAGCTAATTCCTGCGTTTTATTACAAAACGACTCACCCCATCGCAAGCCTTTTTGCATGGCAATGAAATGTGCAAAGTGATCAATTGATAGTGAAATACAAATGGCATTTGAGAACCTACATTGCTATGATAATTTTGAAAAGGATGTTTTGATGTAGAAAAAAACTTCTCACTCACTGAAATTCCATAACTAGTGTTGAAGAAAACATTTGAGTCCTGTGCATAAAATGTACTAATAGGATCAGTTTAAGGAGTGCCCACAAATATCAGTCTAGTTTCTTCACCAGGAAGATCCTGAGTATGTATTATGGTCACTTCTGCCCTCTAGAGGTAAAACGAAGAAAAAAAACACTCCAATCTCTAGCCTTGTCCTCTCCAATCTCTAGCAATACACATGCAGATGGGAGTGAGTTGACAAACTGTTGACATTTTTAAGAAAAAGCTCATACCTTTTACCTAGGGTGCTTTTAATTGTCCACTGTTGTTAAACCATCTTAAATGTATCTATTTACTCCTCATTTATGGGCTCCCGAGTGGCGCAGCGGTCTAAGGCACGCCATCTCAGTGCTTAAGGCGTCACTACAGACCCCCTGGTTCGATTCCAGGCTTTATCACAACCGGTTGTGATTGGGAGTCCCATAGGGCAGCGCACAATTGGCCCAGTGTCGTCCGGTGTAGGCCGTCATTGTAAATAAGAATTTGTTCTTAACTGACTTGCCTAGTTAAATAAAGGTTAAATAAATACATGTATTATGTTTTATTCTCTCTTTGTGTATGTGAAGCACTTTGCACTGCATTGTATGGAATTTGATATATACAGAGATATTCAGCAAATCAAAAAAGTACCACTACATTTTATTTATTAAACGCATTCAGTAGTTAATACAGAGGACGCAGTGTTGACATCATCTATAGCTCTGGAAAAAATTAAGAGACCACTGCAAAAATATACGTTTCTCTGGTTTTACTATTTATAGGTATGTGTTTGGGTGAAATTAACATTTTTGTTTTATTCTATAAACTACTGACAACATTTCTCCCAAATTCCAAATAAAAATATTGTCATTTAGAGCATTTATTTGCAGAAAATGACAACTGGTCAAAATAACAAAAAAGATGCAGTGTTGTCAGACCTCGAATAATGCAAAGAAAATAAGTTCATGTTCATTTTTAAACAACACAATACTAATGTTTTAACTAAAGAAGAGTTCAGAAATCAATATTTGGTGGAATAACCCTGATTTTCAATCACAGCTTTCATGGGTCTTGGCATGCTCTCCACCAGTCTTTCACATTGATGTTGGGTGACTTTATGCCAGTCCTGGCGCACAAATTCAAGCAGCTCGGCTTTGTTTGATGGCTTGTGACCATCCATCTTCCTCTTGATAACATTCCAGAAGTTTTCAATGGGGTTCAGGTCTGGAGATTGGGCTGGCCATAACAGGGTCTTGATCTGGTGGTCCTCCATCCACACCTTGATTGACCTGGCTGTGTGGCATGGAGCATTTTCCTGCTGGAAAAACCAATCCTCAGAGTTAGGGAACAATGTCAGAGCAAAAGGAAGCAAGTTTTCTTCCAGGACAACCTTGTACGTGGCTTGATTCATGCGTCCTTCAAAAGACAAATCTGCCCGATTCCAGCATTGCTGAAGCATCCCCAGATCATCACCGATCCTCCACCAAATTTCACAGTGGGTGCGAGACACTGTGGCTTGTAGGCCTCTCCAGGTCTCCATCTAACCATTAGATGACCAGGTGTTGGGCAAAGCTGAAAATTGGATTCATCAGAGAAGATGACCTTACTCCAGTCCTCTACGGTCCAATCATTATGGTCTTTTGCAAACCTCAGCCTGGCTCTTCTTTGCTTCTCATTGATGAAGGGCTTTTTTCTAGCTTTGCACGACTTCAGCCCTGCCCCTAGGAGCATGTTTCGAACTCGCCGTGCACTTCACCCCAGCTGCCGTTTGCCATTCTTTTTGTAGGTCACTTGATGTCATCCTACGGTTGTTGAGTGACGTTCGAATGAGTTGGCGGTCATCCCGGTCAGTAGAGAGTCGTTTTCGCCCTCTGCTGGTCCTTAGCTTTGTTGTCCCCAATGTCTGCTGCTTGACCTTGTTCTTATGAACCGCCGTCTTTTAAATTTTAAGGATGGAAGCAACCTGACGCTCACTGTATCCCTCTGCCAGTAAAGCCAGAAATGAACCCTTCTTTTCCTCACTCAAAACTTTCCTTTTCAACTCTTTTGGCATGGTCAATAGTTATTTTTTTATTAATTTTTGCCATCCAGCTGGTCCTTTTGCAAGAGGATAGTGATGACCACAGCAGTGGTTTTTATACTTTTCCTCATTAAATAAGATTTGGTTCATGTGATCACCTAATCAGTACCCAATTCAGTAGAATGAGGTGTGCCTGTGTTGGAATTCAACAGACACTGGAATGGAATGCTGTCATACATGTAGAGATGCTGATTTAAGAAAAATTTGCAGTGGTCTCTTAATGTTTTCCAGAGCTGTATCTCTCTGCTGAGTTACAGGTAGCAGAACAGGAAAGCCCACAATAAGCGACTGAACATTTACATTCTATATGAGAGGAGATAAGTGTTTGGTATTAGTCTAAGTCATGAAAATAATGGTAATGTCATCCATGTCACGTTTAAGATTGAAATTATGTGCTCGCCTCTTAAATTGTAAGTAAAATATGTTACATTAAATATTGTATTAATTCGTTAAATTGCCTTGATTATATTTTGATTTAAAAGGCAAAATTGCCACTGAATATAGGTGTACAAAATAACATCTCAGTTAAACAGTGTGCACATAGTATAGCAGTTTGTTCATTAACTAAAGCGAAGTTTACAAAAGGGTTTTAAAACCACATTCAGGGGAGGTTTTCCAGACACATATTGACGTGCCTAATCCTGGACTAAAAAGCATTTAAATGGAGAATCTCCACTGAGTTTGTGTTTTACTCCAGGATTAGGCTTAATCTGTGTCTGGGAGACTGCCCGTCAAAATTTCAGCCTTTTAAATAAACAAAAGTAATGACAGCAGCAGAAATTCACTATGATCTCAAAAAGTTAAGCACTCACTAAAACCCCAAACCCTGGCCTAAACACCTCTCAGGTGTGCATGTATTAGTAATTTACCTATCAATTTATCTATGTAATTAGTACAGTGGCTATTTGGACAAAAAGCCACAATTAACAAATGAACAACTTCCCATCGTATATGAATACATCCCTTGACAACCAGCAGATGCAGGCATTCTGGGTCAGTGATATTTGGAATGGGAAGTGACAGTGGAGTAAGGCGACTGTGGCTCCATGGAGCTACACAGGAGCAGGGGGGGCTCCCTCCTTATGGTACGGTGCCTACTTTGGGGAGCTCTTCCTCGGGCAGCTGCTCCTCCAACAGCTGCTTGTAGGGCAGCAGGTCCTCCTTGTTGCTGAGGAGGCGGTGGCCACACTGCAGTCTGGAGCGCCGGATGGTTATGAGGATCAGACCCACCAGGATGAGGGCTGAAATAACAGCCAGCGTAGCCACCAGGAAGAACGCTGGAGGGGAGGGAGGGATGCATTTACTTTATTAAAGTACACTCCCCTACGTATTTATTTGGACAGCGTAGCTAAAACTTTTAATTTGGCTCTATACTCCAGCATTTTGGATTTGAGATCAAATGTTTTATATGAGGCAATAGTACAGAACTTTTATTCTGGGGTATTTTCATAAATATCAGTTTTACCGTTTAGAAATGAAATCACTTTATGTATCTAGTCCTCCTATTTGAAGGTGCTATAAGTATTTGGACAAATTGAATTACACTACCGTTTAAAAGTTTGGGGTCACTTAGAAATGTCCTTGTTTTCGAAAAAAAAAGCATGTTTTTTTGTCCATTAAAATAACATCAAATTGATCAGAAATAAAGAGTAGACATTGCTAATATTGTAAATGGCTATTGTAGCTGGAAACAGCTGGGTTTTTAATGGAATATCTACATAGGCGTACAGAGGCCCATTATCAGCAACCATCAGTCCTGTGTTCCAATGGCACATTGTGTTTATCATTTTAAAAAGCTAATTGATCATTAGAAAACCCTTTTGCAATTATGTTAGCACAGCTGAAAACTGTTGTGCTGATTAAAGAAGCAAGAAAACTGGCCTTCTTGAGACTAGTTGAGTATCTGGAGCATCAGCAATTGTGGGTTCAATTACAGGCTCAAAATGGCCAGAAACAAAGAACTTTCATCTGAAACTCGTCAGTCTATTCTTGTTCTCGTCAGTCTATTCCATGCGAGAAATTGCCAAGAAACTGAAGATCTCGTACAACACTGTGTACTACTGCCTTCACAGAACAGCGCAAACTGTCTCTAACCAGAATAGAAAGAGGAATGGGAGGCCCCGGTGCACAACTGTTAAGAGCTGCCATATCACACCCGCTGGAACACAACCCTTTAAACCTCTCAGCCAGTCTAGAACTTAAGGAAGGTTAGCTTACCTGGTGTCATGCGGTTACGGCCATTGCGTTGCCCATGCTCGCCTGTGAAAATGATGGAATCAGAAAAGAGAAAAATGTCACTATATCCACATCATCCTTGCCTCACGTGAACATCCTTCCAAATCTCATACCTGGGCGGCAGGTAGCTTAGTGGGTAAGAGCGTTGTGCCAGTAACCGAAAGGTCGCTGGTTCTAATCCCAGAGCGACTAGGTAACATCTGTCGATGTGCCTTAGCAAGGATTTACCCAATTGCCTCCTGTAAGTCGCTCTGGATAAGAGCGTCTGCTAAATGACAAAAAAATAAAAAATAAAAAAATAAAAAATCTTGTTAACTTGACTATTGAAAGTCTGAAGAACATCAGTATTAGATTGTGTTGTAATGGGATGCAGGCATTGAACGCTCACATTTCATTGTCTCCAAGTAGGAAAGGTGAATTCCTCTCCCAGTGTCTGGTGTAAAGCATACTGAACTCTAGGATTTTGCATTTACTTAGCTCAATCCCATTTATTTTATTCTGAAAAGCTCCCCAGTCTTTGCCGATGTCAAGCATACCCATACCATGATGAAGCCACCACCATGCTTCAAAATAAGGCGGCAGTTACTCAGTGACGTGTTCTGTTGGATTTGCCCCAAACATATGGCTTTGTATTTAGGCAAAAGAAGTTTATTCCTTTAATGCATTTTTTGGAATATTCTTATTCTTCTTTTCAGTCGGTCATTATCGTGGTTTAGTGCTGAGCGATTAACTGAAATGTCGGTTATTTTTCATTTTTAAAACAACTAATTGACCGATGTTGATATTATTTTAATTCCATTTAGTTAAAAAAAATTATGTGAGCTCAATGCACACAGAGAGAAATAGTAATGGCGTCTTTTTGTAGGCACTAAAGGAATCAGCATGCTTCAGTTCGGCTGGCACCTAGCCAAACGGGTGTGCTTGCATACTTCCTTAAAAAGACCTTCGCTTGAAAAGCGCCAATAGTACTGTTTGTCCATTTTGAGCCAGTATACACTTCCTCAAAATAGTCAGAATTAATCTAAGATTACTCCAAATCTGTCATTCATTTTTACTTTTTTTGCAGAGGAGATCTTAGTCGCGCAATTTTACATCTAACCAAGATGTGTGGTGCAGTATTTCTGAATGAAAAGATTTGCATGAAAACGAGTCGTTGAATGAAACCCTACTGTTGACCAAATCACTGACGAAGGGGCGTAGACTTCGTCTCCAAACTTCGGCTTGCCTCTAGAAAAAAAGATGATGTGCCCGAACACCCTCACCGAAGTCCAAAACGTTGGAAAATGTTGTCATAATATATGCACAAACTCTTCTGAACTGTTTCGGCTGGGAAGCATGCGGACGCCTCAACTCCGCCATGGTTCGTTGGACAAAGCCTATGTGGAAATAAATGTAGTCTTTGGATAAATGCCAAAAATAAGGTTTGTGGTAAACACAGGCTTAGGAGATTTTATATGTTTTGTTCTATGAGATAATCTTCATCAGCTAATATCGCTGTGAACTTTTCATAATTCATAAAGGTCACGTTAACCTACTGATATTATCTCATAGAACAAAACGTATAAAGATCTCCTAAGCCGGTGTTAACCTCAGACCTTATTTTGGCAGTTTATTCCCAAAACCCTATTATTATTTCCCTATAGGAATGGCTGAACAAACCATCGGTAACTCATTTCCGGGTTTTAGGACTACAAGCTGGCGAGCTCTATTGCGCTGCAGTTTCTCTAAAGATAAATATGATCATGCCCGAACTGTGCGATGTAGTATGGAGTTGTAGTTTCCAACAGGCCAATGTTCTACATAGCTTAGCACAGAAAAAGTGATAATTAACTACAATGACCATAATCCATTGCTACTTGTCCGGTCTGTTTCTTTTACGCCTGCTACAGTGAGGGAAAAAAGTTGAGAAGGTGACAACAGTTGGTGCGATTATTCGCAAACTCTCCACCATGGCCAAGACCAAAGAGTGAAGTTGTCCTGGTTTAATACATAATCCACAGCATAATTATTAACTTTACAATGCTTAAAGAGATATTACATTTGTTATTGTTCCCCATCTACCAATGACTGCACTTCTTTATGAAGCTATCGAAAAGCTCCCTGGTCTTTGTGTATGGGGGACAGAGGAAGGAGTAAAAAATCATGTCAACCCCTATTATTTCACACAGAGTGAGTCCATGTAATTTATGTGATTTGTTAAGCCAAATTTGACTCCTTAACTAATTTAGGCTTTCTTTACACTTTGACATTATAAAGTATTTTGTGTAGATCAATGACAAAAAAATCATAACTAAATCCATTTCAATCCCACTTTGTCACGCAACAAAATGTGAAAAATTCCAAGGGGGCTTTCAAACTCTGTGAGACGCCTGAAGCTAACTTAATCACTCCCATAACCACACAATTTATAATCTCATCCTATTTGTCACTGAAATGCAGTCTATCCTTACCGTCCTCTCCAGTGCAACGGGCCATGCATTCGTCCAGTGTGCTGTAGCGGTTGTGGTTTCCTTTGCAGCCACCGTACACGAATAACTGGCAGGAGCTAGTTCTGGGGACAAAGTAGTACATACTGAAGGCAGCGCGGCAAGGGCCTGAGTCCGAGGGCACCATGCAAGCATCTGTGGAGGAAAAGAGGACCAGGGGACAATCAGAACTGATATCAAACCTGCAGACCACAACTTGTGAAAAAGGCTATCACATCAGGAAGGACATGTTTGAGACTGATCCCAGAACAGCTAACTACACTGTGCAGGGGGAATGGTTTACACTGAACCTCAACCTAAAGGAGCTAGCCAAAAGCCATACTGCAGAAATATGTCCTCTATCCAGTTACCTTTATATTCAATCCTCTTGTCATCTGTAGGTTTGTCTGCATCAGACCCTTTCCTTCCCTTAGAGCCAGGGATGACGGTCACTGGAAAGATGCAAAAGAAGTCAATGTAAGAGAGAGAGGGGTTGCTGGGTGGGGAGGCCTGTTGGGGTTGGTGGGAGGTGAGAAGTGTCAGGTAATAATGGGAGGAGGTTGAAGAGCACCTGTGCAGGTGGCGAGGCACCTCTCGGCGGTATCATAGTTGTTCTTGTTGCCAAGGCAGCCTCCGTAGGTGAAGGGCTGGCAGGTGCCGGTGGAGCTGTCGTAGTAGTAGTGGCGATGAGAGGCGCGGCACGGCCCTGTGTCTGGATTGGCCTGACACAGCTCTAATTGGACAGGAGAAAAGGGTCAGAGGTCAGCACCACTAAAACAGGAAGTGACAGAGATTAAGAGAGAATTAGGAAGGAGAGAGAGAGCATATTATTCACTAAACACATGACAGGAAGTTGAGTGTTATCAATTGAATTTACAGGAAAGGGAAGTCAACAGGAATAAAAAGAAACAGAAAGAGGAGTGAGAGAAATAGACAACTTGCCGATAAAGTCATCTGATGTCATCTTGGGAAGGAGATCCTTAGAACTGGCAGGATCCTCAGGACTGGCAGCTAGGGACCCATTTTAACGTCAGTCAAAAATGTTTGAATTACAGTGATCCCACACTTCACTGTCACCATGGGTACAGTATGTTGACCTTTGTGCCGTAAAAATTGCATGCTTCCCAGCCAGTGTACTTGAACAGGCCCACATCACTACTTTTGGCATTGGAAAATAATCTTCCCTGTTATTAACCAATGATCCAATGTGTCCATAGAAACAAATTGGTCTTATTTTGGACAGATTTTGGCGAGATTGAAACCTCTCGCTTCGCCTCTTCCTCTCTGTTCACACACACACACACACACACACACAGACACAGCCCCTCCCACTGTCACTCACACAACAAAGATGAGATCACTTCCTCTCTGACAAGCGGTTTCAACTCGCTATTTTAATTTGGTCCAACAGAAAGTCAGTCATATGAACACCGAAACACATTGAGACATTATACTGTAATTTTTGTAATTACATTTCAATTTAATAGAATACTAAAATTCTATATTTATATATTCTGTTTCAATATGGTAGATATTGCATTCATTGTCTGTGTATCAAGTTTACATATATTAAACTTCTCAGATGCATTCAGATTCAGATAGAATTAAACGCTCACTGTGGTTAACAAAAGCTTCTGGCGGTTTCTGAAGTCAATGTGGCATGTAGAACTTCTTTTCTTCCTCTGAATTTGGATATAGAGTTCAAACCATTTCAGCTATAAACTATTATGACCCTGTTCCCGAAAGGCTCTCTGGAATATTGTTGTGCCCTCTATGAGGATCACAGGCCGCGATAGAAGTTAGTGTCACAAAAACAATTAGGCCCCCATAAGAATACAGTTGAATAGCCCTGTCGTAGCCCTTCTAAGGATAGCTTTTCCACTATTTTCCTATTAATCTTGCTCTTGGGACTGACTGGGTTCGAACCAGGTCTCCTGCATGTCACAAGACTGTGTTATCCAACTTAGCTAAAGCCCATAGGGATGAGATCATGAAGCTAACAAGTCTTCAGCAAAGTTACTCATCAAAAGAGAGTGGTTCATCGAACCACCTCAGTTACATTTCACCCTCCTTTGACCTCATACTCAGAGATCACGGCACCAATAGAACTGACTGGGTTCGGAATCAGGCCTACAACAACACTTACTGTGGCAAACAGAAGCAGAAGGATCTGTGCACCCAATTTAATGCATGTGATGAGCAACCTTGCCTGAGACCTGAAGACGTGTGAGTTTGACTGATGGGGTTCTAACCCAGGTCTCCTGTGTGCCAGACAATGCAACTTTTCAGGTCTCAAGTTACTCATCACACGAGTATGGTCGCCAAACCACCTGTGTTACACTTCACCCCCCCTTTGACCTCTTCCTTGAAGAGACCCATTCAAATCACAGGACCAATGCCTAGGCTTTAGCGCAACAGGCTAACAGTCTTAACCCAGTCAGTCACACGCTAACCTTAAAAATTACTATCCTTGCCAGAGCCTTGAAACTAACACGTCAAACTAAACATTTTAGATTTAGATTTTTGTCATTTAGCAGACGCTCTTATCCAGAGCGATTTACAGGAGCAATTAGGATTAAAGTGCCTTGCTCAAGGGCTCAGACAGATTTTTCACCTAGACGGCTCATGGATTCAACACTCTTAACCGCTAGGCTACCTGCCACCCTAACTAACACGTCTTCAGGTCTCATGCAAGGTTCTCATCACATAAGCATAGTTCACAAAACCACTCTCTTTAGATGAGTAACCTTGCTTGATCTTGAAGACTTGTATTAGTGTAGCAGTTGAAGATCTGTGAAACCCACTCGCCTGAAGTGTCGCCCTTTGCATAATTAAAGGCCTTTTTTAATAGCACGATGGGTTGGAATGCTTCAGGAGGGCGGACACGTGTGTTTGAGGCAGAAGTCCTGAGTCTCCATGAGCTGAATCAGGGGGAAGCAGTACTCGCTAAGCAGGCAGCGTGACGTCCTTTACAGTGGTGCCACTGGACTCAGATCTACAGCTGCGCTGGTTCAACCACTGGGGTCACTGTGGAGTAAGTTTAGGGGGTGAATGTAGCAGATGGGGATCTGTGTCTCCCCTTGCACATTTGAAGAAGGCCTTTAATAGCACGGTGGGTTAGAACACTTCAGGAGGGCAGTCACGTGTTTGCGAGGCAGAGGTCCTGAGTTTGACTCTCGGTATGAGCTGAATCAGGGGAAGCGGTACTCGTTAAGGAAGCAGCGTGTTGTCCTTTACATTAACTTCCTGAACTTTTCCCTATAGGCTTTAGCTAAGTGGGCTAACACAGTCGTGTGACATGCAGGAGACCTGGTTCGAACCCAGTCAGTCACAAGAGCAAGCTTAAATAATGAGTGGAAAGACTATCCTTAGAAGCAGTAATTGAGTTGTTTCTGTCACTCCCTTCTAATGCGTAAACAGAAGCCACTAAGACCGCACTCAACGATCTGTATAAGGCCATAAGCAAACAAGAAAATGCTCACCCAGAAGCAGCGCTCCTAGTGGCCGGAGACTTTAATGCAGGCAAACTTAAATCAGTTTTACCTCATTTCTACCAGCATGTCACATGTGCAACCAGAAAAAAACTCCACACAGAGATGCATACAAAGCTCTCCCTCACCCTCCATTTGGCAAATCTGACCATAATTCTATCCTCCTGATTCCTGCTTACAAGCAAAAACTAAAGCAGGAAGTACCAGTGACTCGCTCAATATGGAAGTGGTCAGATGACGCAGATGCTACGCTACAGGACTGTTTTGCTAGCACAGACTGGAATATGTTCCGGGATTCATCCAATGGCATTGAGGAGTATACCACCTCAGTCACCGGCTTCATCAATCGACTACGTCGTCCCCACAGTGACCGTACGTACATATCCCAACCAGAAGCCATGGATTACAGGCAACATCCGAACCGAGCTAAAGGCTAGAGCTACCGCTTTCAAGGAGCGGGACACTAATCCGGACGCTTATAAGAAATCCCGCTACACACTCAGATGAACCATCAAACAGGCAAAGCGTCAATACAGGACTAAGATTGAATCCTACTACACCGGCTCTGATGCTTGTTGGATGTGGCAGGGCTTGCAAACTATTACGGACTACAAAGGGAAACCCAGCCGCGAGCTGTCCAGTGACGCGAGTCTACCAGACGAGCTAAATGCCTTTTATGCTCGCTTCGAGGCAAGCAACACTGAAGTATGCATGAGAGCACCAGCTGTTCCGGACGACTGTGTGTTCCCACTCTCGGTAGCCGATGTGAGCAAGAGCCGCGGGGCCAGACGGATTACCAGGACGTGTACTCAAAGCATGAGTGGACCAACTGGCAAATGTCTTCATTTACATTTTCAACCTCTCCCTGATCGAGTCTGTAATACCTACTTGTTTCAAGCAGACTATCCCTGTGCCCGAGGAAGCGAAGGTAACCTGCCTAAATGATTACCGCCCCGTAGCACTCACGTCGGTAGCCATGAAGTGCTTTGAAAGGAACACCTATGTGAGAATGCTGTTCATTGACTACAGCTCAGCATTCGACACCGTAGTGCCCACAAAGCTCATCACTAAGCTAAGGACCCTGGGACTAAATACCTCCCTATGCAACTGGATCCTGGACTTCCTGATGGGCCACCCCCAGGTGGTAAGGGTAGGCAACTACACATCTGCCACGCTGATCCTCAACACTGGGGCCCCTTAGAGGTGCGTGCTTAGTCCCCTCCTGTACTCCCTGTTCACACACGACTGCGAGGCCAAACACGATTTCAACACCATCATTAAGTTTGCTGACGACACAACAGCGGTAGGCTTGATCACTGACAACGATGAGACAGCCTATAGGGAGGAGGTCAGAGACCTGGCAGTGTTGCGCCAGGATAACAACCTCTCCCTCAACGTGATCAAGACAAAGAAGCTGATCGTGGACTACAGGAAAAATGCCGACGGGGCTGTAGTGGAGCAGGTAGAGAGTTTCAAGTTTCTTGGTGTCCACATCACCAACAAACTATCATGGTCCAAACATACCAAGACGGTCATGAAGAGGGCACGACAACACCTATCCCCCTCAGGAGACTGAAAAGATTTGGCATGGGTCCCCAGATCCTCAAAAAGTTATACAGCTGCACCATCGAGAGCATCCTGACCAGTTGCATCACCGCCTGACCATAAGGCACCACAGAGGGTAGTGCGTATGGCCCAGTACATCACTGGGGCCAAGCTTCCTGCATTCCAGGACCTACAGTGGGGAGAACAAGTATTTGATACACTGCCGATTTTGCAGGTTTTCCTACTTACAAAGCATGTAGAGGTCTGTAATTTTTATCATAGGTACACTTCAACTGTGGGAGACGGAATCTAAAACAAAAATCCAGAAAATCACATTGTATGATTTTTAAGTAATTCATTTGCATTTTATTGCATGACATAAGTATTTGATACATCAGAAAAGCAGAACTTAATATTTGGTACAGAAACCTTTGTCTGCAATTACAGAGATCATACGTTTCCTGTAGGTCTTGACCAGGTTTGCACACACTGCAGCATCGATTTTGGCCCACTCCTCCATACAGACCTCCAGATCCTTCAGGTTTCGGGGCTGTCGCTGGGCAATACGGACTTTCAGCTCCCTCCAAAGATTTTCTATTGGGTTCAGGTCTGGAGACTGGCTAGGCCACTCCAGGACCTTGAGATGACCGGAATTCTTACTGGTTGGTAGGTGATCAAATACTTATGTCATGCAATAAAATGCAAATTAATTACTTAAAAATCATACAATGTGATTTTCGTTTTAGATTCCGTCTCTCACAGTTGAAGTGTACCTATGATAAAAATTACAGACCTCTACATGCTTTGTAAGTAGGAAAACCTGCAAAATCGGCAGTGTATCAAATACTTGTTTCCCACATGCCTTTTGGCGAACACCAAACGTGTTTGCTTATTTTTTTCTTTAAGCAATGGCTTTTTTCTGGCCACTCTTCCATAAAGCCCAGCTCTGGGGAGTGTACGGCTTAAAGTGGTCCTATGGACAGATACTCCAATCTCCGCTGTGGAGCTTTGCAGCTCCTTCGGGGTTATCTTTGGTTTCTTTGTTGCCTCTGATTAATGCCCTCCTTGCCTGGTCTGTGAGTTTTGGTGGATGGCCCTCTCTTGGCAGGTTTGTTGTGGTGCCATATTCTTTTCATTTTTTAATAATGGATTTAAAAATGGTGCTCCGTGGGATGTTCAAAGTTTTGGACATTTATTTATAACCCAACCCTGATCTGTACTTCTCCACAACTTTGTCCCTGACCTGTTTGTCGAGCTCCTTGGTCTTCATGGTGCCGCTTGCTTGGTGGTGCCCCTTGCTTAGTGCTGTTGCAGACTCTGGGGCCTTTCAGAACAGGTGTCTATATACTCTGAGATCATGTGACACTTAGATTGCACAAAGGTGGACTTTATTTAACTAATTATGTGACTTCTGAAGGTAATTGGTTGCACCAGATCTTATTTAGGGGCTTCATAGTAAAGGGGGTGAATACCTATGCGCACACACCACTTTTCCGTTATTTATTTTTTTGAATGTTTTGAAATTATTATTTTTTTCATTTCACTTCACCAATGTCCATTACATAAAATCCAAATAAATAATGCAACAAAATAGGAGAAACACCAAGGGGGATGAATACTTTTGCAAGGCACTGTAGCTGAGTACCACTGCATATTTTCAAGCATAGTGTTGGCTGCACCATGTTATTGGTATGCTTGTAATCGTTAAGGCCTGGGATGTTTTTCAGGATAAAAAAAGAAAACATAATTGAGCTAAAATCCTAGAGGTAAACCTGGTTCAGTCTGCTTTCCACCAGACACTGGGAGATGAATTCACCTTTCAGCAGGACAATAACCTAAAACACAAAACCAAATCTACACTGGAGTTGCTTACCAAGAAGACAGTGAATATTGGCCAGTTACAGTTTTTACTTAAATCTCCTTGAAAAACTATGGTAAAACCTGAAAATGGTTGTCTAGCAATGTTCAACAACCAATTTGACAGAGCTTGAATAATTTTGAAAAGATGAATGGAAAAATGTTGTGCACTCCAGGTGTGGAAAGCGCTTAAGCCTTGTTCACACTACAGGCCTTAAATGCTCAAATCAGTTTAGTTTTTCAAATCAGTTTTGTACTACTGACTGTCCAAACAGAAAGTTACAAGTGACTAATTTGGACGTATGTTCAGACAGCAATCATTTGCTGACAAGGCTACGCTAGGTGTTATATTAATGACAGGTGTGTGTGCAGTGGTGTAGGCTGATTGGTGGTGGTGCTTCCTATCACTTTGAAGTTATGTAGCAAGCTAAGGTGACAACAATGCCTGCCATGGACGTTTCCCAGTTGCTTTTACAAAAAATCATAGGGTAAGAACACTCAAAGCCTCATAAGATGAGGCAACTTTCAAAATGAGTCCTTTTTTGGCTAGCCACAGCAACAACAAAGAAAAGTCTAAAAACATGTTTTCACATTGTCATTATGGGTTATTGTGTGTAGATGGGTGAGATATATATTATTCTAATCCATTTTGAATTCAGGTAGTATCACAATAAAATGTGGAATAAGTCAAGGGGTATGTATACTTTCTGAAGGCACTATATATGCGCTTCCCTAACATGACCTATGAATTGAAGTGTGTTGGACGAACACAGATAAGCGGCGCTGTACACATTATGGAAAGTCTGAGGAATGTGGAACTGTTCACTGATTTATCTAGAACCGCCTCAGGTCTCACACGTAAGTAGCTGACACACACCAGTCAAGTTGTTGTTTTTAATGTTGAGGATCATGACATTTTGCCTTTAAAAAATCAGAGACACACAATCCAAGAGATGCAGTATGATATTGCCAGTTTTCCCTCTTAACTCCTAAAGAAAGTGTTTAAAATAGGTGGTGGTAAATAGCACTACGTATACATTACCTTGATCGTCGGCAGTCATAGCCATTCTTCTCTGCATGGGGGAGTCCTTGGACAACAGCACAGTACCTGTCGAGAGAGTGATGGTCCATGAATGCCATTAAGTGAACAAAAGCACATTGACTCACGGTTTAGCCTTACTGTAAAACAGTGTATGCATTTATAGTGATGAAGTGATTAAAAAAAGGTAGCTTCTCTTTGTAAATGATACATGGAAAAAGCAAGGTCCACTTTCAACAGCTGGAGCTTCTTCCTGTTAATATTAGCAACACAAAGAGCTGTTCATGAAATGGATTACAACTCATTCCAAAAATACAAAATAGAAACTGAGCAATAGTGGACTAGAGTGCAATTTGTATGCTTAAAAATAACTAATCCTGAATTACTGCCATTTCCTGTCTAAACAAGCAGCCAGCAATAATTCAGATTTACTGACTCTTTACATGGAAGAATTTGACTTTCTTGTTGGGCATTTCCATGTAAAAGGACCCATGAGAACCAACGTGAAGTTCATAGGAGCATGTCAAATCTGGTGTCAAATTAAAGCTAAGAGTCTATATTTATTAAGGCATATACAGTGGGGTCTGAAATTAGAGACACCCTTGATAAAGATGAGCATAAATGATTGAATAAATTAAATAATTCAAATACTGAGCTATATTGTATGCTCGAAAGAAATTGGGAAATAATTGTATTTTATACTAATACAATTGCTCAGAGAAAGAGATTAACAAGTAATATTTTTTCTCAAAAAGGTAGGTGTCAAAAGTTACTTACAAACGTTTTCAATACCTCATCATGCGAGGATAACGGCACCGAGCCGAGCCTTTTTCTAAAATGTTTTACGGAGTTGGAGAACACATTGGGAGGGATCTTAGACCATTCCTCCATACAAAATCCTTCCAAATCCTTGATATGCACTTATGGACTGCCTTCTTCAATTCAAACCACAAGTTTTCAATGGGTTTCAAAGTCCGGAGACTGAGATAGCCATTGCAAAATGTTGATTTTGTGGTCAATTAACCATTTCCTTGTGGTGTGCTTGGGGATATTGTCTTGCTGAAAGATCCACTTGCAGCCAAGTTTCAGTCTCCTGGCTGAGGCAACCATATTTTTGGCTAAAATGTCCTGGTACAAGGTCAAGTTCATGATGCCATTGACCTTAACAAGGGCCCCAGGACCAGTGGAAGAAAAATAGACCCATAACATCAAAGATCCACCACTATATTTTACAGTAGGTTGGGGTTATTTTCTTCTCATGCATCCTTATTGACACTAAAGCCACCACATCTGAACCAATTGTAGAGGTCTATGTTTCATAAGTTTGGACATCAAAGTACAGTACCGTGTGCATGGCCAAAGAGCTCTATTTTCATGTCATCTGACAAGATCACCGGTTTCAATCCAAGTGCCAATGCCGTTTAACAAACTCCAGGCATTTACATTTGTTGGATGGCATGTAAATATAGCTCTTTGGCCATGCACACGGTACTGTACCTGTACTTTGATGTCCAAACTTATGAAACATAGACCTCTACAATTGGTTCAGATTTGGTCCGGTCCAACCAAATTGTCTTGTTTGGGGGCGGAGCTCATTAAAATAATAGCCAGTGTTTAGAATAATACCCAAATATGCAAAAGGAGGATATTGCATATTTCTACCTTTGTGTACCTATTTAGGATACATCACCATGAAAAGAATTACATTCATATCCATAATTATGCATTTCTGTGTAGTACAGATCAGGGACCCATGATGAAATTCTGTTACCGTAATTCTGTTACCGGGTGTAAATCCAATTTACTTACTGTAGTTTAATAACCAAAAGAGACACCCCATTCTTTCTGCAGACATCTTTGAATCTTGTTTTCAGATCATTGTTTTGTTTTGCATACTGGAATATGCCAGATCCTTTGGCAAGACATTTTCACTAGTCACCCATCTCCTTTCTCACTCCCGTCTACTAGAGGCCAATAAGAATTTGGAAAACACAATGCCAGAAGGTTCACATGAACCAAAGGAAGCAGAGAAGAGTTTCACTGGTTGTTCGTGGAAGTAAGCCTAAGCTACTATAGGCACAGTACAGATATGACCAGATATACAGTGAGGGAAAAAAGTATTTGATCCCCTGCTGATTTTGTACGTTTGCCCACTGACAAAGACATGATCAGTCTATAATTTTAATGGTAGGTTTGTTTGAACAGTGAGAGACAGAATAACAACAACAAAAATCCAGAAAAATGCATGTCAAAAATTTTAGAAATTGATTTGCATTTTAATGAGGGAAATAAGTATTTGACCCCTCTGCAAAACATGACTTAGTACTTGGTGGCAAAACCCTTGTTGGCAATCACAGAGGTCAGACGTTTCTTGTAGTTGGCCACCAGGTTTGCACACATCTCTGGAGGGATTTTGTCCCACTCCTCTTTGCATATCTTCTCCAAGTCATTAAGGTTTCGAGGCTGATGTTTGGCAACTCGAACCTTTAGCTCCCTCCACATATTTTCTATGGGATTAAGGTCTGGCGACTGGCTAGGCCACTCCAGGACCTTAATTTGCTTCTTCTTGAGCCACTCCTTTGTTGCCTTGGCCGTGTGTTTTGGGTCATTGTCATGCTTGAATACCCATCCACGACCCATTTTCAATGCCCTGGCTGAGGGAAGGAGGTTCTCACCCAAGATTTGACGGTACATGGCCCCGTCCATCGTCCCTTTGATGCGGTGAAGTTGTCCTGTCCCCTTAGCAGAAACCCCCCCCCCCAAAGCATAATGTTTCCACCTCCATGTTTGAAGGTGGGGATGGTGTTCTTGGGGTCATAGCCAGCATTCCTCCTCCTCCAAACACGGCGAATTGAGTTGATGGCAAAGAGCTCGATTTTGGTCTCATCTGACCACAACACTTTCACCCAGTTCTCCTCTGAATCATTCAGATGTTCATTGGCAAACTTCAGACAGGCCTGTATATGTGCTTTCTTGAGCAGGCGGACCTTGCGGGCGCTGCAGGATTTCAGTCCTTCACGGCGTAGTGTGTTACCAATTGTTTTCTTGGTGACTATGGTCCCAGCTGCCTTGAGATCATTGACAAGATCCTCCCGTGTAGTTATGGGCTGATTCCTCACCGTTCTCATGATCATTGCAACTCCACGAGGTGAGATCTTGCATGGAGCCCCAGGCCGAGGGAGATTGACAGTTCTTTTGTGTTTCTTCCATTTGCGAACAATCGCACCAACTGTTGTCACCTTCTCACCAAGCTGCTTGGCGATGGTCTTGTAGCCCATTCCAGCCTTGTGTAGGTCTACAATCTTGTCCCTGACATCCTTGGAGAGCTCTTTCGTCTTGGCCATGGTGGAGAGTTTGGAATCTGATTGATTGATTGCTTCTGTGGACAAGTGTCTTTTATACAGGTAACAAACTGAGATTAGGAGCACTCCCTTTAAGAGTGTGCTCCTAATCTCTGCTTGTTACCTGTATAAAAGACACCTGGGAGCCAGAAATCTTTCTGATTGAGAGGGGGTCAAATACTTATTTCCCTCATTAAAATGCAAATCAATTTATAACATTTTTGACATGCGTATTTCTGGATTTTGTTGTTGTTATTCTGTCTCTCACTGTTCAAATAAACCTACCATTAAAATTATAGACTGATCATGTCTTTGTCAGTGGGCAAACGTACAAAATCAGCAGGGGATCAAATACTTTTTTCCCTCACTGTATACACATTAGCTCCAACTGCAAGAGCCTGACAATGAACAGTTTATTATTATGGAATGATGCGAGACTCTGTAGTGGACGGCTCAGGCCAAGGCCAATCCTTGTGAAAAATGCAGTTCATCCCATCGTACAGCGGTCGCTTAACCGGTTTGGTATAGGGTAAGCTGAAACAATCATAACACTAGCTATGCACACGACACACACCCATGATACAAGCACTCTACATCTCAAAAGGATGATGTAAAACTAACTAGCTTAGTAGTAGAATAGTCTGGAATGACATTGTATGCTGTAGCGTTAAGACCACCCTTCACTGGAACTAAGGGGCCTTGCCCGAACCATGAAAAACAGCTCCAGACCATTATTCCTCCTCCACCTAACTTTATAGTTGGCACTATGCATTGGGGCAGGTAGCGTTCTCCTGGCATTCGCCAAAAACCCAGATTCGTCCGTCGGACTGCCAGATGGTGAAGTGTGATTCAACACTCCAGAGAACGCGTTTCCACTGCTCCAGAGTCCAATGGCGGCGAGCTTTACACCACTCCAGCCGACGCTTGGCATTGCGCATGGTGATCTTAGGCTTGTGTGCGGCTGCTCGGCCATGGAAACCCATTCCATGAAGCTCCCGACGAACAGTTATTGTGCTGACGTTGCTTCCAGAGGCAGTTCTGAACTCGGTAGTGAGTGTTGCAACCGAGGACAGACAATTTTTACACGCCACGTGCTTCAGCACTCAGTGGTCCCGTTCTGTGAGCTTGTGTGGACTACCACTTCGCGGCTAACCGTTGCTACTCCTAGACGTTTCCACTTCACAATAACAGCACTTACAGTTGACCGGGGCAGCTCTAGCAAGGCAGAAATTTTACAAACTAACTTGTTGTGAAGGTGGCATGTTGAAAGTCACTGAGCTCTTCAGTATGGCCATTCTACTGCCAATGTGTGTCTATGGAGATTGCATGGCCGTGTGCTCAATTCTATACACCTGTCAGCAATAGGTGTGGCTGAAATAGCCAAATCCACTCATTTGAAGGGGTGGCCACATACACACCCACACACAAAAGTGTGTGTGTGTGTGTGTGTGTGTGTGAGATACATACAGTACCAGTCAAAGGTTCGGACACAGCTACTCATTCCAGGGTTTTTCTATATTTTTACTATTTTCTACATTGTAGAATAATAGTGAAGACATCAAAACTATGAAATAACACATATGGAATCATGTAGTAACCAAAAAAAGTGTTTAAAAAATCTAAATAGATTTTAGATTCTTCAAAATTGCCACTCTTTGCCTTGATGACAGCTTTGCACACTTGGCATTCTCTCAACCAGCTTCATGAGGTAGTCACCTGGAATGCATTTCAATTAACAGGTGTGCCTTGTTAATTTGTGGAATGTTTTTCCTTCTTAAATGGGTTTGAGCCAATCAGTTGTGTTGTGAGAAAGTAGGGGTGGTATACAGAAGATAGCCCTATTTGGTAAAAGAGTCCATACTACGGCAAGAACAGCTCAAATAAGCAAAGAGAAACGACAGTCCATCATTAATTTAAGACATGAAGGTCAGTCAATCCGGAAAATGTCAAGAACTTTGAAAATGTCTCCAAAGCAGTCGCAAAAACCATCAAGCGCTATGATGAAACCGGCTCTTATGAGGACCGCCACAGGAAAGGAAGACCCACTGTTAACTCTGCTCACTATTATTCTACAATGTAGAAAACGGTAAAAATAAAGACAAATCCTTGAATGAGTAGGTGTCCAATCTTTTGACTGGTACTGTACATACATACATACATACATTTACAGTACCAGTCAAAAGTTTGGACACACCTACTCATTCAAGGGTTTTTCTTTATTTTTACTATTTTCTACATTGTAGAATAATAGTGAAGACATCAAAACTATGAAATAACACATACGGAATCATGTAGTAACCAAGAAAGTGTTAAACAAATCAAAATATATTTTATATTTTAGATTCTTCAAAGTAGCCACCCTTTGCCTTGATGACAGCTTTGCACACTCTTGGCATTCTCTCAACCAGCATCACCTGAGGAATGCTTTTCCAACAGTCTTGAAGGAGTTCCTGCATATGCTGAGCACTTGTTGGCTGCTTTTCCTTCACTCTGCGGTCCAACTTATCCCAAACCATCTCAATTGGGTTGAGGTCATCTGATGTAGCACTCCATCACACTCCTTCTTGGTCAAATAGCCCTTACACAGCCTGGAGGTGTGTTTTGGGTCATTGTCCTGTTGAAAAACAAATGATAGTCCAACAAGCGCATACCAGATGGGATGGCGTATCGCTGCAGAATGCTGTGGTAGTCATGCTGGTTAAGTGTGCCTTGAATTCGAAATAAATCACTGACAGTGTCACCAGCAAAGCACCCCCACAACATCACACCTCCTCCTCCTTGCTTCACGGTGGGAACCACACATGCAGAGATTATCCGTTCACCTACTCTGCGTCTCACAAAGACACAGTGGTTGGAACCAAAAATCTCAAATTTGGACTGATCAGACCAAAGGACATATTTCCACTGGTCTAATGTCCATTGCTTGGGTTTCTTGGCCCAAGCAAGTCTGTTCTTATTATTGGTGTCCTTTAGTAGTGGTTTCGTTGCAGCAATTCAACCATGAAGGCCTGATTCACGCAGTCTCCTCTGAACAGTTGATGTTGAGATGAGTCTGTTACTTGAACTCTGTAAAGCATTTATTTGGGCTGCATTTTCTGAGGCTGGTAACTAATGAACTCATCCTCTGTAACTCTGGGTCTTCCTTTCCTGTGGCGGTCCTCATGAGAGCCAGTTTCATCATAGCGCTTGGTGGTTTTTGCGACTGCACTTATGTTACAGCGAAAACACGTTTAGAAATATCAAACAAATACCTTATTTACATAAGTATTCAGACCCTTTGCTATGAGACTCGAAATTGAGCTCAGGTGCATCCTGTTTCCATTTATCATCCTTGAGATGTTTGTACAACTTGGAGTCCACCTGTGGTCAATTCAATTGATTGGACATGATTTGGAAAGGCGCACACCTGTCTATATAAGGTCCCACAGTCGACAGTGCATTTCAGAGCAAAACCCAAGCCATGAGGTCGAAGGTATTGTCCGTAGAGCTCCGAGACAGGATTGTGTCGAGGCACAGATTTGGGGAAGGGTACCAAAAGATGTCTGTAGCATTAAAGGTCCCCAAGAACACACTGGCCTCCATCACTCTTAAATGGAAGAAGTTTGGAACCACCAAGACTCTTCCTAGAGCTGGCTGCCCGGCCAAACTGAGCAATCGGAGGAGAAGGGCCTTGGTCAGGGAGGTGACCAAGAACCCGATGGTCACGATGACAGAGCTCCAGAGTTCTTCTGTGGAAATGGGAGAACCTTCCAGAAGCACAACCATCTCTGCAGCACTCCACCAATCAGGCCTTTATTGTAGAGTGGCCAGACGAAAGCCACTCCTCAGTAAAAGGCACATGACAGCCTACTTGGAGTTTGCCAAAAGGCACCTAAAGGACTCTCACACCATGAGAAACAAGATTCTCTGGTCTGATGAAACCAAGATTGAACTCTTTGGCCTGAATGCCAAGCGTCAAGTCTGGAGGAAACCAGACACCATCCCTACGGTGAAGCATGGTGGTGGCAGCATCATGCTGCGGGGATATTCTTCAGAGGCAGGGACTGGGAGACTAGTCAGGATCGAGAGAAAGATGAATGGCGCAAAGTACAGCAAGATCCTTGATGAAAACCTGCTCCTGAGTGCTCAGGACCTCAGACTGGGGTGAAGGTTCACCTTCCTACCTGTTTTTGCTTTGTCATTATGGGATATTGTGTGTAGATTGATGAGGGGGAAAAAACGATTAAATCAATTTTAGAATAAGGCTGTAACAAATTGTGGAAACAGTGAAGGGGTCTGAACACTTTCCAAATGCACAGTATATAGTGTAAGACAGATCCAGTTTCTGTTCCCTGTTTGAGTGTTTGGTTGATAGCCTATCATAATAATCCTTATTTTTCCTTGATCTCCTTGTTATTATTATTAATATTATGATCATGTCATTAGTAGGTTTAGTATAGCAGCCTTGTATAACCACCATCGAGCTGTAGGCCTAAGAGCGCATCCTGTTTTAGTCTTAATACCGTAACTTACTCAGGCCTATATTTCAATACTTATATACTGTTTCAATCAATCATTTATTCGTTCATGTCATCACACAGCATACGAGTCATTCATGATGTGAAATGCAATCAAGCATTAGTTAAAATAACAAAGCAGCCATTTAATAATTAGTGTAAACAATAAATAGGCCTAAACCATTCCATTTCGGAAATTGCATTCACGAATGAATGAGACTGTTTTTAGTCTTTGCTGTAATGAAGGCTTTACAACAGACTCTCTGGCACGCTTATAATTTATTTTAGTGTTGTTTACATTGTTCCAACCGGTCAGAAAAATTATTTTGTAATCTAGCAGCACCTGTTTGGCACACATTGATCTCCAGTATTTGCCACAACTAGTCAAATGTATTCACACATCTGACTTCCCCTTCACCTTCTGCACAACCGGTAAACATTCCCCCATTTCAAGTTTATTTGTCACGTCCTCTGCATCCATTTTGCTGTCACGTGTTACGGTGTTCAGAGTTTATTATAACCAATTTATTGATGCGATTATGATATAGGTCAGGCCCTATTGGTCACGTAAATGTGAAGCATACATGTGTCATGTAAAGAGAGCAAGGGTTGAGGGAATGTTTTTCCCAGGGATTTTGGTCACAATTTTTCAGACAGAAATGGCTGTAATTATGTTGCAGCTTCAGCAACATGGACAGCGCTATACACTGATGTTCTGTGGTGGTCGCTGCAACAGGGAGGAGAGAGACAATGGGTGCTAGTCACACAGTCACTCGCTGTCTTTTTTTTCTCTGAGCCAGACGGCACAATCAAATCAATTGCAGTCGGATTCCCTCTAGTCATTTGTGTCTTAATTATTTAATCAAACAGTTCACTTAAAGCATCAGAAAAGCTCAGTGCATATAGTTGATTTGAATAAAATACATAGGATGTGTCTATATATGGAAAAATACACTTTAAAAATGTCGGCCAATCGTTTGGTTGAAAGAACAGACGACAAATAATAATATTTATTATTAGGCCTATTAATAATAAAAAATAAAAAAATTCGGACAGCCCTAAATTATATTTTCAGTAGCCTACTCATAAAGTAGGAAACAGAGACAGGAGTTGGACTAGTAACATGTTGGACTGATGTGAAGCACTTAAGGATGTTGCCAGGATCCTAGTGGAGTGAGGGTGTGTCTGAACACAAGCCACAGATGAATTTTGGCCTGTCTCCCTGTCCCTCCATGGGGTGCATTGTGGTGGAGGTTTCTGTGGTTTGGAGTGGGCCACTTTGTTTAACAGTAGGTTACCATTTCAAGAGGCTTAATGCTCTGTGTATGACCACTGACAAGGCTTGTGACCTTAAGGAGGAGATGCTATTTTGACTATTTTTTTTAAAGGACAACAGTATATGCAGTAAACTACCAGTGATGCACGTTAGAACTTCCCCTCTTTCTAACAATGGGGGATTGTTTACAGATGAACACAGAGGCCTACAGGGCAATTCCAAGGTAACGGAATTACACTGAGACTCAGATTCTTCCACTTTAAAATGTATACCAAACAAATACCATCGATTTCAACGTTTTACAAACCATACAACGCTATGCACAAGGACCACTTAATTTCCACAGAATGTTTTTTAAAGCACATTTACAGGAAGAACTGTGCAGAGACAAAGTTTGTAACAGAATAAAACTGAGGGAGATTTTATCGTAATTATGTTACCAAACTTTGCATTTGCACAGTTTTTCCAGTAAATGTAGTCATTGTGCATAGAGTTGTACAGTTTGTTACACTTTGAAATCAATGATTTTTGTTTGGCAAACATTTTAGAGTCTCAGCGTAATTCTGTTAACGTGGAATTACCCTACAGCAGGGATGGGCAACTGGCGGCACACCTGTGGATCAATTTAAAAAATACTTATTTTGGGGGGGGAACTCAGTCGGGGTCTCAATTTACTGTTGAGAGTTAGAATAATATACTGAACAAAAATATTTAAATAACCAAACATGCAACAATCAAAGACTTTACTGAGTTACAGTTCAAATAAGGAAATTAGTCAAATAAATCCATTAGGCCCTTATCTATGGATTTCACATCACTGGGAAGACAGATATGCATCTGTTGGTCACAGATACCTTTAAAAAAAGGTACGGGCGTGGATCAGAAAACTAGTCAGTATCTGGTGTGACCACCATTTGCCTCATGCAGCGCGACACTTCGCATAAAGTTGATCAGGCTGTTGATTGTGGCCTGTGGAATGTTGTCCCACTCCTTTTCAATGGCTGTGCGAAGTTGCTGGATATTGGCGGGAACTGGAACACACGGTCTTACACGTTGATCCAGATCATCCCAAACATGCTCAATGGGTGACATGTCTGGTGAGTGGCAATGGAAGAACTGGGAAATTTTTCAGCTTCCAGGAACTATGTACAGATCCTTGCGACATGGGGCCGTGCATTATCATGCTGAAACATGAGGTGATGGCGGCGGATGAATGGCACGACAATGGGCCTCAGGATCTCGTCACTGTATCTCTGTGCATTCAAATTGCCATAGTTAAAATGCAATTGTGTTCATTGTCCGTAGCTTATGCCTGCCCATACCATAACCCCACCACCACGGGGCACTCTGTTCACAACGTTGACATCAGCAAACTGCTCGCCCACAAGATGCCATACACGCTTGTCTGTCTGCCATCTGCCCGGTACAGTTGAAACAGGGATTAATCCATGAAGAGCACACTTCTCCAGCGTGCCAGTGGCCATCGAAGGTCAAGACCCTGGTGAGGACCACGAGCACACAGATAAGCTTCCCTGAGACGTTTTCTGATAGTTTGTGCAGAAATGATTCTGTTGTGCAAACCCACAGTTTTATCAGCTGTCCGGGTGGCTGGTCTAAACGATCCTGCAGGTGAAGAAGCCAGATGTGGAGGGCTGGCATGGTTAGCAGTCCTCCACATCCAAAATCTCTAAAACGACGTTGGAGGCGGCTTATGGTAGAGAAATGAACATTCAATTCTTTGGCAACAGGACTGGTGGACATTCCTGCAGTCAGCATGCCAATTGCATTCTCCCTCAAAACTTGAGACATCTGTGGCATTGTGTTGTGTGACAAAACTGCACATTTTAGAGTGGCTTTTTATTGTTCACAGCACAAGGTGCACCTGTTTAATGATCATGCTGTTTAATCAGCTTCTTGATATGCCACATCTGTCAGGTGGATGGATTATCTTGGCAAAGCAGAAATGCTCACTAACAGGGACGTAAACAAATTTGTGTACAAAATGAGAGAAATAAGCTTTTTGTGTGTATGGAAACTTTCTGGGATCTTTCATTTCAGCTCATGAAACATGGGACCAATAAAAAAAATATTTTAAAAACAGAGTTGTTTGGGAGGAACCCACTACCATGGGCATGCGGCACTTATCTGTAGGAGGAAAGAGCCGACGAGAGTTTAACACTGAAGCGGGTCATGATGATAAACTCAATTCACAAGGAAACCTTTCCGTTGTCGCCTAAATTACATGCTTAAAAGGGGGGCATTTTTATAGTCAAAGAGTAGTAAATCAGGAACTTCATCAGTCAAGATGAAAATATGATTAACACCAATACAAAATAATAGAAGTATAAATAAATGTACGATGAGGGCTTAGTTGCCAAAGAAAATCACCTTTCTAGGAGGAGAGTTAGTAAGCCTACTGTAGCTCTCTCAAGCCTTTATTTCCCTATGATTTACATACTGAGTGAAACCGTGAGAGCTGGAATGGACAAACAAAACATGACAAAAGAGCTGAGACCCGAGTCTCTCCACACCTATGGAGCAGGGTGGACACATAGGACAGTCAAAACACGCTTGTCAGCACCCACAATGTGGTTCATAGCATTTCAAATGAGAGAAAATGTGTATTATAGGCATGTTTGCATGTCCTATCACACATTATTATAGACATGTATATTCTGGGACATTATTTGCATTCAGCACGACTTTATTACACCTCAGAAGAACTTTCCATCCTATTACACAAATCAATCGTATAGTGCACATGTAAACCTGGTTGGCCCCGTCTCTTGCCGCGTTCAAAACAACTGGGAAGTGGGAACATGGAAATCTCCAACTTCCGACTTCAGTGCATTCAAGACAACTGGGTCCTCGGAAAAAAACGAGCTCCGACGGGGAATAATCTTTAACGGTCATCCAACTCAGGAACTCGGGCCTCTTTCTAGAGCTCCGACTTTCCAACCTGGAGAACACGGACGTCATAATTTGACCTCGTTGTTTTCCATGTTCCCAGTTGTCTTGAAAGCACCATCTGTCCCCATGAAAGCTCACCTATCAGGAAGTAAGTGTGCGTGCCAGAGAAATGGGGTGGAGTTTCTACACTCAAACAAAATAACTTCCTGTGAACTCCAATAGGAGTCAATACCCCAGGCACAGATAAACCACTATTTCCTAATTTTTCCACTTTGTAAAACAAACCTGACCTGGCTACGAATGTATGACCAACATGTATGACTGTATGCAAAGCAGTGGATGGCGTATGTGAGATGCAAACACAGCACCATTGATCGATCTATAAATAATGAGAATGAAATCCAGAACAATGCGCACTGGTCGCCACTGGGTTAATGTGTCTTGGAAGAAGCAAATAAAGAGACAATACTGTGGTGTCATTTTCTCACTTTAAACTGACTGAGAGGCTAAAGTCCAGGTCATATTGAATTTCTAAAGTGCTTAACTTACACTATGACTCCTTAGGTCAAAAATGATTGCAAAACCAGGACAGAGCTGGGGAATGGTCCTCTGCCTCATGACCCTAATTTCACCCCCCCCCCCCCCCCCAAAAAAAAGGCTATTGGCAAAGGGCTGATATAGCCTAGACTCCTTGGCTACGGCAGTCCCTATAAGTGCCAGTGACGCACCTGAATTGTCATTATATTAAAGGCCAATATGCCTACCTGTTGAGTTGACTTCCCTGGGGACAACAGCTTCACTAAGAGCGTCAACTTCGACTTTTGTAGTCTTGGGCTGCGTCTTTTTGCGGTAGACCTTGAACTGTGTATCGGACTGTAAAACGCAGACGTCCTTTCCATCTTTCATGCAGCTGACGAGAAAACACTCCGGAGTTCCATCCGCTGGGGTTCCAACCAAAGCGAGCTGACAGTCCTGGTTGCCGCAGCAAGCATCCTGACACCCCTTGCTGTCTGATATCTCCGGCAGGTGAGCCAAATGTCTGGCTCCAGCTTCAAGGGATTTTGGGTCAAGACCTTGTTCGGGGTCGGTGTCCACATCCCAAGGGCATCCTTGTTTCTCTTCCTCCAACTGACCGCTGACCAGTACCGCGAGCAGTAGGAACAATACACCACCGCTCCACACCGTTTTCATCGTTTTTTCCGTGGAAGCCTTCGTCCAGGTAAATAATCGTCTTCCAAATAAGCTTTTCTTGATCGAAGTAGCAATTCGTCTTAGGCTATTAGAAGCTGTAAGTGAAACTACTTCCCTGTTGAAGCGACTTCCCTTTGTCATGAATACACCATAGGGTGTGTTCGTAAATTCAATCTAGAGTGTGCTATGGGCGTTCTTAAATTCAGAGCGTTTGGCTCTCGGAGCGTTCAGAGCGCACACGCTCTGGCCGAGGAGTAGGGTTGATCCGAGCGTTCTGACCACACAACGGCAGTCAAGCACCCACGCTAACGTTGGCTAGCTACTTCCAGACACAAATGAGAGAACACACTCTGACCATTTCACTCGCCCTAGCAGAGCTGGTTAGACTGTTTTCATGTTATCCAGAGCGTTGGTGACTGTAACTGTGCTGCTGGCAACAATTTAATTACTATTTTTTGCCGACGTTTACTGACACCGGCCATATTCAACTGGTGTTGAGCGTTCGTAAATTAATCAGTTATTCTGCGCTCTGGCACACTCAGACGAGAGTGCTCTGAAATCGGAGTAGATAGCCAGAGCGAATTTACGAACGCACCCGTAGCTAAGGACAGGTGCTCTTTTCCCCGCCCACGGAATAATGAACAAGGCCACGTTCAGTTGCCAAACGTTTTCGAACGTTGCAGATAGAAATGTGAATAGTCAACGTGATTCTTCAACCTGGTTTCAGAGCATTCCGTACGTAAATCCTATACACATATGTTACGTTTAGTATGGTATGTATTAATTTGTGGATGTCCACCAATCATTTCGTATGATATGTTACGTATTACAATTCATATGATATGTTATGAATTTGCAAAAAGTACAATATGTTACGAATTCGCAAAACGTATGATTTGTTATAAATTCTAATTAGTTGTGGCTAACGTTAGCTAACTGGCTAATGTTGATTTGGGTTAAAATGTTAAGGTTAGGGGAAGGGTAACATGCTAAGTAGTTGCAAAGTAGCTGAAAAGTAGTCATACTAATTTGAGTGTCCGCGATTGACATTTACTATGTTACGTCTAGAGACCAGGCTGGATTCCTTATGACCTAGAGAAGATTATTTGTTCATATTTCTATCTGAACGTTCCATCCTGCTGATGGGCGTGACTTCAGGTTTAACTTTTTCAAAAGGTTCCTCGTCTGTGTTCTTTTGCGTGACATTCAGACGTATCAGATATTTACTTAGCCATTGTTAGGCCTACGGATTCGTTCAATCTAATCACTCATTTAGTTATTTTGTTGTTGTAGTAGACTAACACAGATACTGTACCTGAATACAGGTAGTCTACATGACATTCTCCAATTAGTGAATCAATTTTATTTAGATACCACAAGATGGCACCATTACCCTTCTGCCATAAGCTTGATATCCAGTGGTGCATGGTAAGTCACCCCACTAGAGCGCAGGCAAGAGCAAGAAAAAGTACGAGATATACCTTATTTGGGATAAAAACATGTCACAAGTCAACTATAAAAAGGTGTGTGCTTGCTTCAGGCGTCATAAGTATGTGAAATAACATTGTTCATGCTTTCCAGTGTTTGGTGATTGGAAAGGTGAGCGGAGCAGAGGACAGCCACAGTGGTGCGCCTGCACAGTTTTAGGTGCCTTGCTCAAGGGCACAACGGCAGGAGATGGCATTTAGGACACTGATGCCAGTAACCCTCCCGTTGCTGGCCCACTCTCGACCATATTTCTTCCCGTCGGACATTGGATTTGAATCTGCAACCCTCTAGTTCAGGGCTCTCCAACCCTGTTCCTGGAGAGCCTCTGTCCTGTAGGTTTTTGCTCCAACCCTAATCTAGCGCACCTGATTCAAATAATTAGCTGGTTGATAAGATAAATCAGGTTAGTAACACCTGGGGTTGGAGCGAAAACCTACAGGAGGGTAGCTCTCCAGGAACAGGGTTGGAAACCCCTGCTCTAGTTGCTGGCCCACCTCTCTATTAACCACTAGGCGTGTGTTACATTAAACTAAATCATTGTCATTACAGTATGACAGTTGTGTATGTTTATGAATAACCTTAACATGACCAAATATTCTCCTCTGCTGTGTTAATGATTTAGGCTTGCTGGATATAAATAACCAATGAAAATAGAAAGTAAATCCAGGGTGAAGCACTAGGCCCCTCAAATTCAAATCTGGACCATAATTCCAGTTCCACTGCTTTTTTTCATTATTCTCCTCTAATCAGGGACTGATTTAGACCTGGGACACCAGGTGGATGCAATTAATTATCAGGTAGCGCAGAAAACCAGCAGGCTCCAGACCTCATAGGGTAAGATTTGAATACCCCATGCACTAGGCCAGGGGTGAGCAAACTCTTTGGCTCGAGGGCCACAACGAAATTCAACAAGAGGGAGGCACAGATTTTTTTTTAAAACCTATTTGTTTGTCAAGATCAATTTGCATGCAAGAAAAAGTCTACCACTACCCCGGCCACCAGCTCTGCACCCTCTGCTGCAACTTGCCTATGCCCCCCCCCCCCCCCCCCCCCCCCCCTCCCCCCACACACAAAAATTCATACAGCTGATGTTCTGAAAGAGCTGCAAAATCTGGACCCCTACAAATCATCTGGGCTAGACAATCTGGACCCTTTCTTTCTAAAAATAGCCGCCAAAATTGTCGCAACCCCTATTACTAGCCTGTTCAACCTCTCTTTCATAACGTCTGAGATCCCCAGAGATTGGAAAGCTGCCGCGGTCATCCCCCTCTTCAAAGGGGGTGACACTCTAGATCCAAACTGTTACAGACCTATATCCATCCTGCCCTGCCTTTCGAAAGTTTTTGAAAGCCAAGTTAACAAACAGATCACCGACCATTTCGAATCCCACCGTACCTTCTCCGCTATGCAATCCGGTTTCTGAGCTGGTCATGGGTGCACCTCAGCCACGCTCAAGGTCCTAAACGATATTATAACCACGATCGATAATAGACAGTACTGTGCAGCCGTCTTCATCGACCTGGCCAAGGCTTTCGACTCTGTCAACCACTGCATTGTTATTGGCAGACTAAATAGCCTGGGTTTCTCAAATGACTGCCTCGCCTGGTTCACCAACTACTTCTCAGATAGAGTTCAATGTGTCAAATCGGAGGGCCTGTTGTCTGGACCTATGGCAGTCTCTATGGGGGTGCCACAGGGTTCAATTCTTGGGCCGACTCTTTTCTCCGTGTTTATCAATGATGTCGCTCTTGGTCCTGGTGACTCTCAGATCCACCTCTACGCAGACGACACCATTTTGTATACATCTGGCCCTTCATTGGACACTGTGTTAACAAACCTCCAAACGAGCTTCAATGCCATACAACACTCCTTCCGTAGCCTCCAACTGCTTTTAAACACTAGTAAAACTAAATCCATGCTCTTCAATCGAACGCTGCTGGCACCCGCCCACCCGACTAGAATCACTACTCTCGACGGGTCTGACCTAGAGTATGTGGACAACTACAAATACCTAGGTGTCTGGTTAGACTGTAAACTCTCCTTCCAGACTCACATTAAGCATCTCCAATCCAAAGTTAAATCTAGAATCGGCTTCCTATTTTGCAACAAAGCCTCCTTCACTCATGCTGCCAAACATGCCCTCGTAAAATGGACTATCCTACCGATCCTTGACTTCGGCGATGTCATTTACAAAATAGCCTCCAACACTCTACTCAGCAAATTGGATGTAGTCTATCATAGTGCCATCCGTTTTGTCACCAAAGCCCCATATACTACCCACCACTGTGACCTGTACGCTCTTGTTGGCTGGTCCTCACTACATATTCGTCGCCAAACCCACTGGCTCCAGGCCATCTATAAATCACTGCTAGGCATATCTCTGCCTTATTTTAGCTCATTGGTCAGCATAGCAACACCCACACCTAGTATGCGCTCCAGCAGGTATATCTCTACTGGTCATCCCCAAAGCCAACACCTCCTTTGGCCAACATTCCTTCCAGTTCTCTGCTGCCAATGACTGGAACGAACTGCAAAAATCTCTGAAGCTGGAGACTCTTATCTCCCTCACTAACTTTAAGCATCAGTTGTCAGAGCACCTTACTGATCACTGCACCTGTACACAGCCCATCTGAAATTAGCCCACTCAACTACCTCATCCCCATATTGTTATTTATTTTGCTCATTTGCACCCCAGTATCTCTATTTGCACATCATCTCTTGCACATATATCATTCCAGTGTTAATACTAATTGTAATTATTTTGCACTATGGCCTATTTATTACCTCCATAACTTTGCTACATTTGCACACACTGTATATATATTTTCTGTGGTATTTTTGACTTTATGTTTTGTTATATGTTACTCTGTGTTGTTGTTTTTATCGCACTGCTTTGCTTTATCTTGGCCAGGTCGCAGTTGTAAATGAGAACTTGTTCTCAACTGGCTTACCTGGTTAAATAAAGGTGAAGAAAAAACAAACAAAAACGCAAGCCATCATGTAGGTTCATAGAGATAGATATAGGACTCATCTTTGTATCTATGCCATTATAGCGTCTGTGACAGAATGGGTGGCGCCATAGAGGCAATCTCCATTTAGAAGTAGTCAATTTTCTTCATTCTTTGATTGGCTGATCACCAGAAGAGATCAGCAAATGAAGTTAAAAGTCCGACCCAGTCGACAACATTAGAATGATGGCTCTTCCCATGCTAATACGGCCTTGACCTTTTGGCCGCTAGAGGACTTTATCATTCCCTATGTGTAGGCTAAATAATTTATAAATAGTGGTGACCATGATGGTGAGTCATTGTACTTTCCCCAGAATACTGAATCACTAACATTTATGGCTAATTTTTGTCACACAATTCAGAAAGTGTAGAACTTCCTCATGGACAGAATTTTACAGAGCTAAACTCAATTAAATATGTATCACATTGCTCGGCGCACAACTGTTTCCCTGGCCTGTATAGGGTGTGGCACTAGGACCCATAGCCGAGTTCTCCACCAGTGCACTACTATTGCCAATGATAGCGCACTTCTTTCACTCACTAGGTCCACCGTCTGCACGTGTCTGTCATCGGAAGTGGATATGGCAGCGAACCGGGTCGGGAGAAGATGTAACAACAAAGTCCATTCCCCGAGTAGGGGTCCAGGTAGGGACCCGGGGCTTAGCTTGCAGAAGAGGCAAGCACGGGTCACGGTAAAGTACAACAGAAAGGAGCTCCAAAGGCGCTTGGATGTGGAGAAGTGGATTGACTGTAGTCTGGACGAGCTCTATTTGGGCAGGGTGAGTCCCATCAATTTGAAATGAAACGGATCTCTAATGATAGGCTACGCAATACGTATACAGTCACATACCAATGCGAAACGTTTATTTGATTTATTGTAAGAATACAAAAAGTGTTTTACGTAATAACAATTATTCATTGTAGCATAAGTGTTCACTGAATGACATTAAGCGACTTTGGCAGCAGCTCCGGTGTACGCAATCCACTGTAGCGTGGTACATCACTTTTCAGTGGGAGTTGATCGCTATAATGAATATATCGGTTTGGCGCATTTGGGAACATAATAGTCATTTTATGTGAGCGGTTAACGCAGCAATTTCGAATATTCAGTCTCCTCAAGATATGTAAATACAACTATTCACAAAATGTGACTAAGTCTGTTTTTCAGAGATCGTACTGCCTAGTGTCGCTTACCATCTGGGATGTGGCTACGACGTTAATCAATTTTACATGGGTGGGGGGGGTTGCCTGCCTTGTCTCTCCTTGCGCTCTGTCTGTTTAACATTCGATTAATCAAGGATGTGTAGATAGATGCCTTATAGTCGTAGGGTCAAATGACTGTCTAGTCAAAACACTGCCTGGTCAAAACACTGCCTGGTCAAAACACTGCCTGTAATATTGGTACATTCATGGTCTCATCAAATCCAGATTGATAGTATTGTGAATATTTTTTCTTATCAGACACTATTGACTGGACACTTGTCCTTTAGCTAATAATAATAATAAAAGCAAACATTTCTCTGTAGCCAGAAGAAGAGAGGATTATAATAAACTACAAAGCCATTAGCAAGTTGAACAGGTTTATTCTGCTCTAAGAAGAACACCAGCCGAGGTGTTTTACACCTGCCTGGCATGCTTCCTCATATTAGCAAAGCATGGAAAGACATAGACTTGGCGTCCAAGGGAAAATACAAAAGTAGATATGGTATATTCCCTTCATGTTGTATGTAAGGGGATGGACGGTCAGTATACTCCCTGTGAGTGGGGAAATACTGTCTCACTGCCAGGGGTGACATGGAAAAGATCAGAGGTCCAATTGAAAGTGCTCCCAGAAACATAACTGGTCTGTGGCTGGCTGGCCAGGTCGCTTGGCGCTTGTTGCTTTACGTGGACAGCCTTGAGGGTTTATGGGCTTCTGGCTGACAAAACAGGAGGACCTGGTGTAGTGTGTGGCATCACCAGCGAGGGCAGGGGCACCAGTGGATGTTGGTAGGCATTGGGTCAAGGCACTGCATGGTGGAGGCTGTGTGAGAAGGCAGGGTTGGGGAGGATGGTTGATGTAGGGATGGGGTTGGTGCTATGGTACAGTTTTTTGGATTATTCCATACCAATAATCTCTCCATCAGACACAACCATCTCCTGCTCAGAATGTATTTAACTATAGCACTATAGAAATTGGATGCCCAGTGTTGAATTCTGTTTGTATGATACGTTGAGACCTATTTGAGTCTACAGCCTTCTGGGTGGTTCTCTTTTTCTGCAGAGCAATTAGCAATCTGTTCTTCAGCATCTGCTTTCGACATCCAATTTATAACATAGTAATAAAACATGGTAGTAAAAACTCAATGTGTTTACTGCAAAGACCACCACCTGACAGATGCTACCCAATGACAGAGGAGTAAAAGCAGTGCTGTCACAGGGGGATACCTCTGTAGTGACCATTATACAACCACAGGGGAGACAATGACAGCAAAAACAGCATCAGTGAGCTGTCATATTTTTTTTATAGGGTCTCTCTGCATCCACTTAAAGAATAGAGAATATAGAAATATTGCATTAGATCCTATTTAGTGTTCATGACAATTTGACCTACTGTACCATTCTGTTTCTTGTGGATGGATACAGTAAACACACTTGCTTTCTCATAAACACACACACATGGCCACAGCTTTATATCTATGTTAATGAGTTAATTGCTGTGCTGATAGTGGAACAGGCATGTGTAATGACTGTGTAATCAGATCTCCCCAATACTCATTTCCTGCTAGACCAAAGCCCACCCTGGCTGCCCCTGCAACATGAAAACCCCCTGACCAGGCCTGAATGGACGCTAACTATCCCAGTTATTGATTGATGACATCTTTGTCTCCTGGGATGATTCTTATGAATGGGAGGATGGGGGTTTGGGGGAAGTGAAGGTCCCATATGTCACCAAAGAGCACAAAGAGAATACTCCCCCCATCACGAGCCTGTTGTTGAAGCTCGAAATATTGACTGTAGTGCATCGCTTGGCCCATTATCAAAGGTCATTAGTCTTATATTAGCGCTCTATCAACGCTCAATCGGAGGCCCAGCTTAAGACCCCGCAGTGTTCTGCTATCTGCGTGATTGTCTGCCAGGCTCGGGGTCTTTTCACTTTTAATCCCATGTCCCACCACTACACCCAGCCATTATAACCATTCTATTGCGTCGTCACTGCCCACTAAGCGACACAGATGTGACAGCCAGTTGTTATGCAATTTACCACTGCAAACTGGGAGAGAAAAACTTTGGAGAACTAAGGTTTTTAGAGTGCAATTGTTTATTTTTGTAGCAACAATCAATATCTAATGGGTGTGAAATATGTATTGCAACTGATCTATAACAGCTGTTTCCCCAACCTAATGCAATTTGTCGAAGACGTGGAAAGTAATCTCATAAGACTCATAAAATATATAAATCGCACAAATAACATGACATAATTGCGTTTATCTTGAACCAGAACACCTGCCCCACAATTTAGTGATGAATGAATACCTAATGGAAATGCATTTTAATGTGCACGCTTATGTAGATGAGAGAAACAGCCATCAATCTCCTGATGAACAGGCCCATTTCCTGGTGTACAGTCGTGGTCAAAAGTTTTGAGAATGACACAAGTATTGGTCTTCACAAAGTTTGCTGCTTCAGTGTTTTTAGATATTTTTGTCAGATGTTACTATGGTATACTGAAGTATAATTTCAAGCATTCCATAAGTGTCAAAGCTTTTAGTGACAATTACATTAAGTTTATGCAAAGAGTCAATATTTGCAGTGTTGACCCTTCTTTTCAAGACCTCTGCAATCCGCCCTGGCATGCTGTCAATTAACTTCTGGGCCACATCCTGACTGATGGCAACCCATTCTTGCATAATCAATGCTTGGAGTTTGTCAGAATTTGTGGGGTTTTGAGGATTCACCACAAGTTCTCAATGGGATTAAGGTCTGGGGAGTTTCCTGGCCATGGACCCAACATTTCAATGTTTTGTTCCCTGAGCCACTTAGTTATCACTTTTGCCTTATGGCAAGGTGCTCCATCATGCTGGAAAAGGCATTGTTCATCACCAAACTGTTCTTGGATGGTTGGGAGAAGTTGTTCTCGGAGGATGTGTTGGTACCATTCTTTATTCATGGCTGTGTTCTTAGGCAAAATTGTGAGTGAGCCCACTCCCTTGGCTGAGAAGCAACCCCACACATGAATGGTCTCAGGATGCTTTACTGTTGGCATAACACAGGACTGATGGTAGTGCTCACCTTGTCTTCTCCGGACAAGCTTTTTTCCGGATGCCCCAAACAATCGGAAAGGGGATTCATCAGAGAAAATGACTTTACCCCAGTCCTCAGCAGTCCAATCCCTGTACCTTTTGCAGAATATCAGTCTGTCCCTGATGTTTTTCCTGGAGAGAAGTGGCTTCCTCGCTGCCCTTCTTGACACCAGGCAATCCTCCAAAAGTCTTTGCCTCACTGTGCGTGCAGATGCACTCACACCTGCCTGCTGCCATTCCTGAGCAAGCTCTGCACTGGTGGTGCCCCGAACCCGCAGCTGAATCAACTTTAGGAGACGGTCCTGACGCTTGCTGGACTTTCTTGGGCGCCCTGACGCCTTCTTCACAACAATTGAACCTCTCTCCTTGAAGTTCTTGATGATCCGATAAATGGTTGATTTAGGTGCAATCTTACTAGCAGCAATATCCTTGCCTGTGAAGCCCTATTTGTGCAAAGCAATGATGACGGCACGTGTTTCCTTGCAGGTAACCATGGTTAACAGAGGAAGAACAATGATTTCAAGCACCACCCTCCTTTTTAAAGCTTCCAGTCTGTTATTCTAACTCATTCAGCATGACAGAGTGATCTCCAGCCTTGTCCTCGTCAACACTCTCACCTGTGTTAACGAGAGAATCACTGACATGATGTCAGCTGGTCCTTTTGTGGCAGGGCTAAAATGCAGTGGAAATGTTTTGGGGGGATTAAGTTCATTTTCATGGCAAAGCGGGACTTAGCAATTAATTGCAATTAATCTGATCACTCTTCATAACATTCTGGAGTATATGCAAATTGCCATCATAAAAACTGAGGCAGCAGACTTTGAAAATTTATATTTGTGTCATTCTCAAAACATTTGACCACGACTGTAGAGAGAACCTCTATTGGAAATGTCGCTGTGCCGATCATATGTCTCAATCATTATGGTTTATACTTTGATATAAAGTCAATAACCACAATTTCACTGACAGCATTAAACCCTTATTACATTCTTGACAATGAGACATTTTGGTAGTGTTCTGAACAGATGTGCTAATAATATTGTAATTAATACTAGATCAGGTGTCAAACTCATTCCATGGGCTGAGTGTCTGCGGGTTTTCACTCCTCCCTTTATACTTGATTGATGAATTAAGGTCACTGATTAGTAAGGAACTCCCCTCACCTGGCTGTCTAGGTCTTCATTGAAATGAAAAACCAAAAACCAGCTGACACTCGGCCCTCCATGGAATGAGTTTGACACCCCTGTACTAGATTAATATTATGTTTATGTGCTGTAGCAGTAAGTAACTGTGGGAATGCATCTGGTGAAAACTAGTGATGATGATGTTTAGAGTAGTAATGACTTGTTAGGATGTGACAGCAGGGAATGGCCCCCTCTGCCCTGATGGAAAAAGAGAGAGAGATAGAGGTTGACATATTCTGGGCTAGAGAGACAAGGTGTGAGATGGAGTAGGAGAGAAAGGAAATGTCTAATAGCATGTCGTACAGGCGGTAAAGAGGATGTGAATATTACAGAGAGTGGGAGAGGAGTGGGACAGACCAAGAGAGACAGATCATGAATCTGGAAATGACATGTTAATGTAGTATATTAGGGGTAGATAGATACTGTAGTTGTTCTGCATTTAGCAGTTTGCCTGTTGCAGGATATGAAATGGAAGGGGGAAGGAATGGTGATATGGGAAAAATACTTGAGTAAAGCTAGATAAGCATCTGTCAATACTGCAGGCTCTAAAGTAAATACAACAGCTGAGGGTTATAACATGGGTCTACACAAACCGACCCACAAAAATGACTTTAATGATAAGAAATTATAATATTTTGTGTAGTGGCTCATTATCAGTGAAATGTATTGAGGCTGAATGTTTCATGTGTATATTGATTGATATTTTATTAATGATTACCTTCCACCTCAATGGGTTATGGCAATAATGGACATTCATGTACATTTAAAGAGTGTTCGCTTCCCTTGTAAATGATTTTACTTTCCGTTAGTCTTCAGTTTAACCTGGCATGGTATTTTGACCCAAATTTATTTTGTCACCAGTGTGAGACAGGCCACTTACTGTATCAGGGTGTTGGCTATGGAAAACATGACACAGGTGCACAGCTGGACACAGTGACACAGGGACCAGTGGACAACCACCCAGAGTATCCAAGCAAACAAAAACCACATTACCCTCAACCCACTGGCCTGGAAGTGATGTGGACTAAATTGCTGCCTTGGAGCCATCTACTGATGCTAAACTAGGTGGAAGGACTCGTTCCCTTTCTCTTTCTGTCTCTCTCTTTCTGTCTCTCTCTCTCTCTCTCTCTCTCTCTCTCTCTCTCTCTCTCTCTCTCTCGGTCTCTGGGTTGCCCTCTCGCTCTCTGCTACAGAGGAGTGAGGGCCCAGCCGTACTCATTACAAACTGCCACCTAGATCTGGTATTGTTGCTGGTGCTACATTCTCTAAAACAACAATCACTCACCTTCATTTTCTGCTAAAACACACAGTCAACACACAGTGCAGGCTAAACTAGAACCACAGATGAAAGGGGATTCGTTAAAAGTATTGTTGCTAGAAATCAAGGACTGCTAGAAATACTGGGGTGGGCTATATCATCTGATCATCGCTAATGTAGGCTACATGAATCAGCTAGCTAGTTAGCTAGGCTATGCTGTCAAAACAAGCTAACTAGTCTTTGCTTGTAACCTACTACTGGCGGTATTCATTTAAAACTCGTACATGCAGGACGAGTGGCAGAAGGGCAGGGAGGGGACTTTTTTTCAAGATTCATACGTTTATGAGAAATGATCTACTTTGATGGGTAATTCGTTGCATTTAAAGTTACAAGAAAGAAAAGAGACAAAAAATGTAATAAGGTATTTTTATTTTTACGCCACCAATCAAAAGGGCATTTTTTTCATAGTAGGGTTCTATCTGTGCACCTTTCTGCTCACCTTTACTATTAGCCTCCTGCACAAGTAAGATAGGACTCAAGACCATAAAGAAGTATAGGACACATTAGCCCACCCGACATCACACATCCCCTCACTGAACATTCTAATGTGATCTAAGCATAATGTGCAATCCAGACTTGGACAATGAAAGCAGTTGAATCCCGATAAAAGCATTGCATCAGCCTAAAGTGACTAACTCACCCTGACAGGCCTGTGTCATCATGTTTGTCCCACGATGGAGGCTGTGTTTACTCAACACTGCAAGGAATGCTCACTGAGCCTCACTGAGCCTCATTAACCTGATATACACAATAATGTGTAGTTTCATTACACATGTATATTACAATACCGTGTATTACACACATTGTTGTGTCTGTGTGGTACGTGTATGAGAGTGTTTGTGCTTGCTCGCGTGGCTGTGTTTTTATATGCCTGTGTGTGGGCAGTATGAGACTGTATTTCATTGGCATTTGGAGTTGAAAGAAAGGTCTGGGTAGGAAGAGACTGCTTGGATCTGCCTGGACGGACCTTTACACTACCGGCACCCAAAGACAGACCCAAAGGGGCTGGTTAACCTTACTGCTGAACTCTGTATGGCCTGTTGCATGAGTGTCACTAGTCAACATGTCACACACACATGCACTCACTCACGCCCATGCTGTCTTTGTTGTGTACTGTGGTTGATGTTTGGGTTAGGTTCTGACGACAGCCTCCCATCTAGTCTACAGTGTTATTTGCAGTAGTCTTCATACATTTCCATATTTTGTTATTCAAAGAATCTCTGCCTTACCAAAAAGGGCAATAAGAAAATGACCAGGGTTCATTTTTGGCTCACTATGTTGATAGCATCACATCATGAATAATTCCCTTTGAATGTGCTGTTTGTGCCAATGAGCAGACTTGCCTCAAGGGACAAATAAATAAGGTGGAATCTCATGAGACTCTTGGTAAGTGTTTGGCCAGAAGCCATTGTGGAATACTTTCCTGTTCAGAATGAACGAAGTAGTTTGGGAATGGGGGTGTGACGACATTTTATACTGAACAAAAATATAAATGCAAAGTGTTTCATGAACTGAAATAAAATATCCCAGAAATGTTCCATACGCACAAAAAGCGTATTTCTCTACAAATGTGTTTACATCCCTGTTAGTGAGCATTTCTCCTTTGCCAAGATAATTCATCCACCTGACAGGTGTGGCATATCAAGATGCTGATTAAACAGCATGATCATTACACAGGTGCACCATGTGCTGGCGACAAAAGGCCACTCTAAAATGTGCAGTTTTGTAACACAACACAATGCCACAGATGTCTCATGTCTTGAGGGAGTGTGCAATTGGCATGCTGACTGCAGGAATGTCCTCCAGAGCTGTTGCCAGAGCATTGAATGTTCACTTCTCTACCATAAGCCCCCTCCAAAGTCGTTTTAGAGAATTTGGCAGTATGTTCAACCGGGCTCACAACCGCAGACCATGTGTAACCACGCCAGCCCAGGACCTCCACATCTGGCTTCACCTGCGGGATCGTCTGAGACCAGCCACCCGGACAGCTGATGAAACTGTGGGTTTGCACAACCAAATAATCTCTGCACAAAGTTTCAGAAACCGTCTCAGAAGTTCATCTGCGTGCTCATCGTCCTTACCAGGGCCTTGACCTGACTGCAGTTTGGCGTCGTAAACCGACTTCAATGGCCACTGGCACGCTGGAGAAGTGTGCTCTTTACAGATGAATCCCGGTTTCAACTGTACCGGGCAGATGACGTGTATGGCGTCATGTGGGTGAGCGGTTTGCTGACGTCAACGTTGTAAACAGAGTGCCCCGTGGTGGTGGGGTTATGGTATGGGCAGGCATTGCATTTTATCGATGGCAATTTGGATGCACAGAGATTCTGTGACGAGATCCTGAGGCCCATTGTTGTGCCATTCATCTGCTTCCATCACCTCATGTTTCAACATGTTAATGCATGGCCCCATGTCGTAAGGATCTGTACACAATTCCTGGAAACTGAAAATGTTCCAGTTCTTCCATGGCCTGCATACTCACTAGACGTCACCCATTGAGCATGTTTGGGATGCTCTGGATTGATGTGTATGACTGCGTGTTTCAGTTCATGCCAATATCAAGCAACTTCGCACAGCCATTAAAGAGAAGTGGGACAACATTCCTCAGGCCACAATCAACAACCTGATCAACTCTATGTGTAGGAGATGTTGCGCTGCATGAGACAAATGGTGGTCACACCAGATAGTGACTGGTTTTCTGATCCACACCCCTACCTTTTTGTTAAAGGTACTGTATCTGTGACCAACATATGCATATCTGTATTCCCAGTCGTGAAATCCATAGATTAGGGCTTAATTAATTTATTTCAATTGACTGATTTCTTTATATTTACATTTACGTCATCTAGCAGACGCTCTTATCCAGAGCGACTTACAGTTAGTGAATACATATATTTTTTTTTATATATACTGGCCCCCCGTGGGAATCGAACCCACAACCCTGGCGTTGCAAACGCCATGCTCTATCAACTGAGCTACATCCCTGCCGGCCATTCCCTCCCCTACCCAATTGTGCGCCGCCCATGAGCCTCCCGGTCGCGGCCGGCTGCGACAGAGCCTGGATTCGAACCAGGATCTCTAGTGGCACAGTTAGCACTGCGATGCAGTGCCTTAGACCACTGCGCCACTCAGGAGAATGAACTGTAACTCAGTAAAATCTTTGAAAGTGTTGCATGTTGTGTTTTTATATTTTTGTTCAGTGTAGTTAATGATCTGTGAAAATGTCCCAAATGAAGTGCATAGACTGTTATACAAATAATCTCTGCTTTCCTCTGAGACTTTGGGGGGAGCTGAAGGCACTGTTTGAGTATGACCGATTTTAGGAGGCCGTGAGAAAGCATAATGGATGCGGTCTGTGATGGAGAATGTCTGGCCTTGATGGTGGTGGCTTCCGTCCTTACAGCATACCTAGACTAGTAGCCAGGGTTGTGGTTCGTTCTCTCTCACGCACTCACTCTCACACACACATCCCCACATGCAGTGTTCCTACTGAAACTAAATCCTGAGATTATGGAGGCACTTTGATGACCGATTCCAACAGCGGCCCAGCCATCTAAAAGTCCCTAGGCCTGAACTGCAAGCCCACGCGTCAATCATCATGCATATGATGACTCAACAGCCACCATGGACACTCACACTTACACACACACACACTGCAATGCTTCAGGGTCTGTGAATATCTCATGGTGTGTTGCACTCTAAAAACACACACAGCTCTTCCTCTGTGTCTGTAAGACCCATGCAACTCAGAACTCATGGCAAGATCTGATTTGTCCCTTTTCATATAATGGGGTATATGATAGTTGAATGTTAGGATACTGCCCTGGCCAGAGTGTAGTGGAGGATGCCTACAGATTGGTGAACAGTTTGACTGACTGACGCTCTGTCACCTTGTGTCCCCAGGAGGAGGAGATGCCGGAGGAGGTGAACATTGACGAGCTGTTAGACCTGAAGAGTGATGAGGAGAGAACTCGCAGGCTGCAGGTATACTGTCCTACTCACTAGCAAAATCATCTGAAGACGTTATCATTTGATCAATTAAAAGCTGTGTGAACAAGTTGTGCTGTCTAGATTGTGAGGGTAACATTAATAGCTGTAGATTTGGTTGCTATTTAAATATATTGTTTCAGCAGCAGCCTGGCCAGTTGAACTAAAATCTTATTTGGTCTGGGGATTTTTTCCAGGAAATGTTTCACACCTGCAATAACACAGAGGTAAGTGAGGTAATCTATATAAAAGAGTAATATCTAACAATGTGTTTAAGATTATGTATTGGGTTTTGGGTAGTATTTTGTGCCAGAGACTGACTTTACAGAATGATGTCACAGTGAAGGGACCCAATCAGAGAACAGGGTTATGACAATATCATTATTAAGGTTGCAAAACTGTCCTGGATTCCAGATTTTTTCTTATTCCCTCCTGATTTGGGGAATCCTCCAACCTGGGATTTCTGGGAAACCAGGGAATTTATTGAAAGTTCCTGGAATTTTGTAACCCTAGTTATTATGAAGGGACCAATCAGAGAACAGGGTTATGATGATGTCATTATAAAAGGACCAATCACCACTGGTCAAGTCTGAGTTGAGGCACAAGTCATGAAAATTGTGACTTGAGTCCAAGTCAAATCCAAGTCTTAAACTCAAGTACTACAACACTGCCTTCCTCCCTCTCTTTATCACCTCCTCGCTCTTTCTTTCAGCAACAGAAGTAACCACTGATGACTCCACATATAGTAGCTGACAATGCTAGTCTTGTCCCTCACATACCAGGTCCTTCTTTTACACTGTCCCTGTATCCTTCGTGGTCAGCATTACTCAACCTGTCCATTATGTGTTGACAGACCATGTTGACCCCCCCCCCCCCCCCCCCCCCACACACACACACATATTGATATCATACACACAAAATGAATGAAGTGATATCTCTGAAACATGTTTCCTTGTTGTTTCACTGTGAATTACTCAACATTACCAACACTGTGTATCACTGTATCCATTCTGAGCATGTTTCGTATGATGACCGACTGCCCTTCTTCCCTGCACACACAGGTTTTCATCAAGGAACTGGTGTTGAAACTCCATGGGCTGCAGAAACAGGAGGACCTCCACAACGATGGCATCGAACAACCCCAGCTACACATCTTCCCCAACCGGCAAAACTCTGCAGACCGAGAGGTGATCTGAAGGCCCTGTTATGTTACCCTTCAACCCCAGAACCCAGCACCCGACTCCCCATTCCCCAGCCCCAGCCCGATGACATGGACCTCATCTGAAAAACATGGAGTCGTGCGGGTCTTTACACTGTGCTCTACACACTGTCAAATACACATTAAACAGCTAGCCAAATCTGACAACTTATTGCAAACATCTTATCTTCTGTCCGCACGCACACACACACAACCACAATGCACAGGCCGTCCCTGCAACATTTGTACCTCTACAATGTCAAATGAATTATGTTTTATTTTTGTTAACTCATAAAGTGTCAGAAATGTGTGAAACATGCTGCTCTCTGTTGGGTCGCTACCGCTACTTGTGTTCTGTTTCCTCTAATTGTTCAACTGTTCTCTCTTTTTTTTTTCAAGTACATTGTATAATGCTTTTATTGGAAAACCCATTAAGGTATCGACTGTTGGTCTGTGTCTTATGTTGTGAGATGCACCTCTGATTCTGTTTAGCTCACAAACCAGAACCAAAGAGTCCAGCAACATACTGTAGATACCAATGTCAGTCTGAAGGTAATAAAGACTCCTACAGAGCTTTCATATACCCAAATGGGTTAGTCAACGGTACCTAGCTACAAGCAGGCCTGCCATATTTTCAAACTGTGCATCCAGTAACATAAGAGACAATAGTTAATGGGGTCAACTGAATATATATTAAAAAGGGGAGTAGTATTGTGTTGTGATATTCCCGATGATTTTAATGACCGTATACATAACGCTACAAAGGATATTTTTTATGAAGACCAAGCAGTATTGCTTGGTAGGTTGTCAACTGCCACTCACAAAGCCTGTTCAGGCTAGTTATTAAGGCTATTTTAAGATAACATTTATGCTGTCAGGAATACCAGGTAATTTATTTCTTACCAAAGTGTTTATATCTATAGATGGAGTGCTGAGGATCTTCAATCAGCTAAAGGATAGGAACCCAACTGCTTTACTGTGCTCCTATGTGCCACCTCAGGTACACAATGTTTCCTAATGTCGTTTTTCTTACATGATTTTCAACACGTTTGTAAATGTGTAGTTCTCTGTTGGTTGGTTGTATTGATTGTATATTGGTTTAAATACATTTTGAATTCAACGTTTCCAATAGCAACTTTGAATCATTACCAGTACAGTGTTTTATAGATTAGAGGCTGTATTGACATATTGCTGTAACATAGTGATGGCCCGTGTTTTTTTGTTGAGATATGAGTTGTATGGATAAACGCCGCCCTCTCCTGGCTAAATGTACAGCGCAGTAATTTACAACAACATTACATTTTGGCATGACAGTCTACTCTACACACCTTTGGAAACAGGGTGTTTATTTAATCTCATAGGGGTCAACCCATTTACATCATTGTAAATAGATTACTAGGGTGTGACTGAAGGTAGATAGATAGTAGCCTATATGATGCTAACTGAAGTGGCAGCCCAACGATGCATGTAATATCAGAGACGGGTCAGATTTTTCAAGCACCCATAACTTTATCATAGCAATCCTACAGTATGAACTCTTGCTCAGTCCAATCCAATACTATCTAATCTGACAGACTGTCCTGGTTCATTGGAATAACCTGTAGATGGCAGGAGAACACAAGTCAACATTTCCTTTCTCATTGTATTAACACCATAGAGTCAGCTTCAGGAACGTCTTTAGTAAGATAAAACCAGATATGCTTACAGAGCATTATGTGTACTGTAGTAACATCATGCTACACCTCCTTTTAGCTCAGCATCATGCTACCATCATTAGCCTCAATTTAACAATTTGCTGTGGAATTTTGCATTGCTCAAAAACACTGTGTATGTATACAGTATGCCTGTTTGTTGCTGAAGCTCGTCTGATCCGCCAGTGACAGACCAACCAGGCTCCTCGTCACCTTCACAGTTGTGTGTGTGTGTGTGTGCTGTCCCTTTGATATTTTAAGTAGAAATTGTGCAGCAATATTTCATTTTAAAAGCCTATTATATTAATAAATGTGCCCCTTTAATAAAGACTACATAGATAATTCAATAAATCTGATTTTAAATACGAATAAAGATTTTAACCCACTTAATCCCCAAATTTCTCCAAGTTTTCACCATCATTGTAAAACCTTAGTTATTTTGTTGCTTTGACAAAGTCATTTCTGAAAAGTATTATTTATTTAATGTGATTAGTGAATAATTTATGTCTCTCCCTCATTTTAAAGTCAACCCTGTTACGTGAACTGAACTATTCCTTAAAAAAAAAAAAAATCTAAATAAACATTGAACATCTAATAGTCAAACCATAGAGTAAAAGCAGGTGAGCTGATTGTACTATTTTTGGCTATGTTCTGGGTTTTTTGTGGTGGGAAAATGAGCGGGTCGAACATAACATATCAACCCTGTTACCCATAGTTAGACAGGCTATAAATGTAAAAACGTTCATTCCCCCCATCACAAAGAGATTTACGTCTGTTTTAAGATGAAATCATCAACCCTGTTACTTAATTTAACCTCTTGAGATGGGAAAACACATTTTTTATGAAGTTGAACATGTGCTCTTTATGACAGAATGTTAAAATTAGGTGAAATCAAATGTTACACTACCCAAAACGCACCCAATTGGTGGAACGACCCGTAAATCATTGTATTATGAACCAAGGATCATTGAGTCATTTGGTTGACGGTTCATGCTCCTAAATACTGAGGGTATTATGTAGGCTGGACAAACAGTATACAGTAAAGGGTTAGAATTCCAAGTGCATTGTTCCACAGCATCAATACATCCTAAAGTCTCACAGATGCTCAAAGCACATAAACAAACATGGGCCTCAAACAAAGAGCGTACACATGAACTCTATGACCACATCCGTGTGTAGGTTTGTTCATTGCAGAATACGTTCATATACAAAGTGCAAAACAACTAGGTAACGGGAGAATACTCCAAAACAAATCCTAGATCCGTTTCAGCTCCATGTGGGCTCACATCCATCCTGATGGCCGGTGGATAGGGCATAGGGAGTAGCCTAAGGTTTGTGACTTAAAATAGATAATCTCTATGAGAGGGGTGATTCAACACATATGGGTCTAAAACAAACAAACAAATTAATAAACTAAATGAAAGTCTAGCCACAAGTCTCCAAAGGCAATTAGTATAATCAGCCTCTCTCCCTGAGGGGCCTGTAGCTCGCTATGGAGGAGGAGGCGGGCAAAAATAGGATGGCCTGCTTCCTCAGGAAAAAGCATCTTGCGCTACAGCCAGGAAATGGCCAACGCCAGCCCTGGAGTCCAGACGAGCCTCTGGAACAGAGAAGCAGGCATTACCTCTGAGCTCTCAGACCTACAAGGACACAGCCACTCACACACACACTTCGACCAGTTACATTGCCCGTGTGGCCCAGGGATGCCACTGCTGTGAGAACCACAGGGATCCTCTTCTTAACAGCGTAACAAGGTAAGAGCTGGACTCGGCCTGGCTGAAGCCATATTAGACTTTTCATCTCAGTTTGATGTTGTCCGGGTGCCCCTGGTTTGGTTGGGCTCTAGTCAGAGCTCCCTTCAGAGGCATGTATCCTCACCCACTCATAGAGAGCAGGGCTTGGGTTCCGTATTGGTCAGAGCGGAGACCAATGAGAGACAAGTGAGCGGCAGTATTCAGTGGATAACATTCTGTTTGCTTTCTTCAGAGTCAGACAGTATATCACTGTTGTTTCATGTATAGTCTTATTTGTACTATTTATGTGTCTGTCGTTGTGTCTCTACTAGGGACTATAGAATAACATCATTTAAATACAACTTCTGCCAAGATCAGTATTTTGTTAGCATGTATTGCAGCACTTATAATACATACAGGGCTCCAAAGCCTTGTGCATCAGGAAAAGCCATGCATAGATAACTACATGAATATACAGTGCATTCTGAAAATATTCAGACCCCTTCCCTTTTTCCACATTTTGTTATGTTACAGCCTTATTCTAAAATGCATTATATTTTTTAAAATCCTCATCAATCTACACACAATACCCCATAATGAAAAAGTGAAAACAGGTTTTTAGAAATGTTTTCTAATTAAAACATAAATAAAAAACATAAATACCTTTACATAAGTATTCAGACACTTTGCTATGAGACTCGAAATTGAGCTCAGGTGCATTCTGTTTTCATTGATCATCCTTGAGATGTTTCTACAACTTGATTGGAGTCCACCTGTGGTAAATTAAATTGATTGGACATGATTTGGAAAGGCACACACCAGTCTATATAAGGTCCCACAGTTGACAGTGCATTTCAGAGCAAAAACCAAGCCATGAGGTTGAAGGAATTGTTTGTAGAGCTCCAAGACAGTATTGTGTCGAGGCACAGATCTGGGGAACGGTACCAAAAAATGTCTGTAGCATTAAAGGTCCCCAAGAACACAGTGGCCACCATCCCTCTTAAATGGAAGAAGTTTGGAACCACCAAGACTCTTCCTAGAGCTGGCCACCCGGCCAAACTGAGCAATTGGGGGAGAAGGGCCTTGGTCAGGGAGGTGACCAAGAACCCGATGGTCACTCTGAAAAGATGAATAGAGCAAAGTACAACGAGATCCTTGATGAAAACCTGCTCCAGAGCGCTCAGGACCTCAGACTGGGGCTAAAGTTCACCTTCCAATACGACAACAACCCTAAGCACACAGCCAAGACAACGCAGGAGTGGCTTCGGGACAAGTCTCTGAATGTCCTTGAGTGGCCCAGCCAGAGCCCGGACTTGAACCCGATCGAACATCTCTGGAGAGACCTGAAAATAGCTGTGCAGCGATGCTCTCCATCCAACCTGACAGAGCTTGAGAAGTTCTGCAGAGAAGAATGGGAGAATTAGCTTAACTTTTAGTCCTTCTAGAAACATCCCACATAGTGGACTACCCACAGCTGTTAATCTGTTGGATGTTTTTATCATGATTTCTATGGATGAAAAGTGGAGTACAATTTTTTAACATCATTTAGTGTGTGAAGCTGTAAATTCTGTGCCGTTTTAATCAATGTTTCAATGGTATGAAAGCCTTGTTTGATGCGGTGTAGTAAATCTGAATTACAATGACCGCTGACCACATGTCCAGTGTTGAGGGAGTAGCAATCTGATGATTCATTGATGGTTATCTGAGTGTCCGTCAGGGAATCTCTGTCGTTTGTATTGTTTATCCCTGTGTGTTTGTGGCGCACGCACGCACAGTCACAGGAAAATCAAAATAACTTTTTCTATAAACATTAGAGCAACAATGACAAAGTCTAAAGATGAATCATATGAACAGTAGCTTAATATAGGCCTACAGTGCTATGTACAGTGGCCAGTATAAGCCTTCTTGTGAGATGTCTTATAGTGAGGCACCATGCAACCAGGGTCCCCATTATTCACTCCTTAATACAACTGTGGGCACAGGTACACCTAGACAATTAAAGTTAGGACAGTTCAAGGGAACAAGACCTGTTCCCACTAGGGATTTCAACGTTGAACAATCTGACCAGTACTTCAAAACGTATAATGTAATAATTTCTGTCTAGCCTAAATGATGCTACATGGTGTGATATAACATAATGCAGTAGTCAGTACAGTAGTTACAGCAGTCACAGTACCTTAAGAGAGATAATACCATGTTTTCAGGCTATAAAGTGTGTTAAGTGGATAACTACACCGTTAAAATGAAGTGCTTTGTAACACCAAAAACGAGTGGCAACTGAGCTGCCACCCACTTGAAGGAGACGAAACCTTAACTTTGCTGGAGTATTGAAACACATCATCCTGTGATGTTTTGAAACAGGTGTGTTGTAACACCACTTAATCAAGTATTGTGCAACACCTTTCCAGGGACTGGGAGCACTACTGTAAATGGTTGGAAACACTGTACTGGTGTTTCGTGTTTAGTGCAGAATTAGATACCTTCTCTTTTGGTGTCGTTTCCTTTCTCTGAAGCTTCTAAACACTATTATGATGTTTCAAATCATGTCTATTGCAGAATTAGATCACTTCATTTGCCCCAGAAGAATTTAAAATAGTGTGGCTGTGTAGTTGAGTGTGCAAAATCCAAATAAAATTCCAATGTGTTTTGATGCTGCCTTTTACATGCACTGAAACCCCCAAAAGTGTTTTCACAACAATAAAATCACCAATATTCAGATTGAACAACCACTTTGGGTGTTTCAGAGTACTTCCATTCTTTTTTAAAACACCCTCCCAACACCAGATCTCAGCTTAGGTCTACTACTTTTCATGGTTTCATTACACAATCATGGTGTTTTGAGACTTTCTGTTTCTACAGTGTACTATGACCAGTAAACAACAGCAAGCAATACAAACTTGACAAAAAAATCGCAACTTAATTGTCAACATAAAGGACAGAACTGCCTGCCAAACTGAGGACATCATGGTCATGTTGCCAAGGTCAGCGGAACCAATGTCATGATTGCAAAAGAGTTTAACTCAGGAAGGAAAAGCTGAGGCAGATAGAGAAACATGGGATGTGTGGGAGTATACTGTACATAATTATGTTAGTCACCAAGCCATTACAGCACATCCTTTGATGACGAAAATGATTCTGTGAGATCCCCTTTTTATCCTCTACACTACAATTGACTTGCCTGCTGAATGATAGGCTCGCTACCTTTCTCTGCCGTCCACCTGAATTTGCATTGAATTAGAAGGCTTTGAACCTCTTCAGGTCAGGGAACGAGTTGGACGTCTATCCACTCCCCAGATGGGTGAATCGTGAAGGCACCAGGATGCTACCTACTGCAGTCAGCGCAAATAAAGGATAACCTTAATTCCTCCTGTACTGTTGGCTGCCTGTGTTTGAGTGGGACAGGGGACAGATTGATGCACTGAGAATGATGAACCGAGGGCATCATGCCAAGTAGGTGT